AGCTGCCTCCTCCCCTCCTATTATCCCTCCTCCCTTCTCCCACCCCCATCTCTGAGGCTCTGGCTGGACTGACAGGGAGACTCAACAGGGCGCTGGGCATTAGCAATTTGGGGGGATATTACACAGGGATGTTTACAGAAAGGCAATTGCCCGGAAAATGACTTTGGTTGCTGTGGTATGGGGCGGAAAAGATGGTTTTAGAAAACAGACACAGATGGGCTTCTGCTCCAAGGACCCACAGATGGACAGCAGGGACCGGGGGGCATGGAAACACAAGGAGCACAGAGCCAGGGGCTCCCACAGACACAGAGGCCAGTTCCTTCATGGAGTGAGGGGGTGGAGAACAAGGGACGATCCTCTCACCTGGTCCAGGTTTCTGGAGCCTCTGCCAACCTTAAGAAAAAGATGTACCTGGTTCCTTGGTGACCTTTGTCCTCTGTCCTCCGACCTCCCAGAACTGTGCGCTTCCTGACTGCAGCAGGTACCCAGCGGGTTGGAGATGTCAGGCACAATTGATGGTGGCAGTTGCCTTGGGGCTCCTCCTGGGTGATGGGCGCCTCTGGTTTTGGCTGAAGGCATGGGGCCAGGGGAGCCTTGCGCTGCATGAGAATTGTGTGTAGGCCCTCTGGGATGTGAGCCAGGCCCTCCAGCCTTCCAGCAGTCTCCATGCACCCCTCTCGTGCCCCACCTGCAGACCTCGCTGCGATCTAACCAGAGCGCCTTATGGGTTCCCTGAGCTGGTACCCAGCCCCCACCTCTGCCTAGGCAATGGCTGAGGCACACCTGGGAGGCACCTTGTCCAGGCTCCTGGTCTTTGGGGAGAAGAGACAGGGAGCTGAACTCCAGGTTCTGGGTTGGGGGAGGTCCTCACAGCCAGGGTCCCAGAGAGAATCCTTTTTTCTGTAGCTGGTAACTTCGCTCTTCCCTCTGCTTTCTCCCCTTCCTCTGTCTTCTCCCTCCCCCCGTTCTTCTCCACACTTTCTTCCTCTGACGATGATGTCATGTGTGAATGCCGCCCAGCAGCAGCCAGAGGACAGGGTGGATGGTGACATCTGGGGTAAAGACGCCAGGTGGGGATGGGCTTGATGGCTTATGAGACAGTGTCACTAAAACGGAGATCTTAATTCTCCTCATGGGTTACAGTGATCTCATGGAAAAGAATGCAGTGAGGATAAAAATAAATCAGGCTCATAAATAAATGCGGAATTAGGAATTGGTGGAACAAATAACAATTTTGCTCTCTTCCCAAGCACCTGCGCTTTTCTCTGCAGCCGACCACTGGGGGGCGCCCACGGCTTCCCGGTCACCCCTGCCTCTGGCCCTCACCTTCCTCATTGCCCAGGCTGGAAGGCTGAGCTGAGGGTGACCAGAGGACCCCTTCTGCCCTCGCCTCCCCCAGCCTCCCTTATCCTGAGCTCGATTTCACTAGTCCTGGGAATCTTCCCTATAGCTTGAAGCTCTGACTCAACAATTATGGTGGACCTTGCACGCTGAGGGGCTTCGGAAAGATGGCAAATTCTTGGCCCCAACCTACCTCTCAGGGGTGTTCGGTCCCAACACCCCTTCCCAGGGTACCCCAGCCTGCTCCACCGTCCAGGCCCTAACGTGCCTTCCCAAGACATCTGGCCTCTGCCCCACCACCCAGAGTCCTTCAATCCCCATGTCCTGGCCCCAGTAGCACCTGGCTCTGTTTACCCCCTCCAGCTCACCCGGGCCCCTCTGTCCCCCTTCTCCCTTGCAGACCCCTGCCTGGATGGATGCTGAGCAGGAAGCATCGATTTGCTCAGGGACTGGGGCACCCACGCCTGCTGTTTGGGGCAGGAATCGCTCTCCTGGGCTTGTCCCTGGACGGCTCCGGGTGGAGGGCAGGGCGCTGCCTCCAGGGCTTGGTGGGGCTGAGCTGATGTGGGCAGTGGGAGAGCGCTCAGCCCCGACCCCACATGCTCATCTGCCAGGAGCCTCTGTGATTCAAAACAATGTTCTTGCTTCTCCATTGTCTCGGCTTCTCATGCAGTGCCCAGTGCAGGGTTTAGAGGTTAACCCCCCCATTTTACAGATTAGTGGCCTCAGGCTCCCAGAGGGCAGAGAAAAGTGAAATGAATGGATAAGTAAGTGAATGACTGGCCTGCGTCCCTCGGGAAGGCGGTGAGTAACCCAGACTGGCTGTACCGGGGTTTCCCTCCCAATGCTCTGACCTCAAGTGCCCAGCTGGCTCAGGGAGAAATTCATACTTGAGCCCTCGGAGGCGCCTGGCATGCCTTCCTCCATGGGCAACAGGTGGCCCCCAGCCGAGAGTCTCAGGCCAGTCCTCCCAGCCCAGTGGGGCCCTGCAGAAAGGAGAGCAGTCGCACAGAGCAGGGGCTGGGCCCCTGGGATACGCAGGCCCCTCGCCCCCAGTTTCCTTCTTGGTAAACAGAGTCAAAGTTGTGGAAGGTTCTTAAGCAGACTCGGAGGCCTTTTGAGTCAAAACCTCCTTCCCACGGCCCCGCAGAGATAGAGCTTGTCCAGCTCCTGCCTCACCCAAGACCCTGCCTTTGGCTGACGCCTGCGCACCTGAGGGGTGAGCGCTGACTTCCAGGAACAGGGTGGGCTTAGTCCTTGCCCGCTCTCTGCTCAGCCTGCTCAGGGGCAGCCCGCTCCCCACCATGCCTGCCAAGGGGGACACTGCTCCCCCCAACCAACTCCACCCAGCCCGTTGGGCAAAGGGTTCTCTGCAAATCCCCTGCAGGTGGTAAGGATGAGAGGAGAAGGGAGGAGGTCAAGGTCACAGGAGGCAGCCCCTGACTCAGGTTGGGGCTGCCTCTCCAGCCCCTGCAGTACCCCCATTGGCCCTCCTCCTCCAGGGTTATCAGGTCACTCCTTTTCAGCCATATTCACTGGCTACCCTGAATTTCTACCAGCTCCCAAAGGGCAGGGCTGAGCCCTCATAAGATGTTCCCAAGGTTTCTAGCCTCTCTCGGGGGCATCTTCAGGAACTCCCTCCATGTCAGCAGTCTGCACTGTGTTGACCCAACGCTTTTCATTAACTCACTTTGAACTTTCTAATTTCATAGAAGGAAACCTTATCTTTTCCATCCCAAGGGGCTACATCCATGAAATCAGTGGTTGAAACGCCTAGTTGCCCTACCCCCCGTCTTTATGAAAATAAAGGTATAAATCTTAAAATACAAGAAGCGGCCCTCCCAAAGTCATCTCTTGCGTCTGGGCCTCACTTTGAGGACCACCACCAAGGGACCCAGACCCAGTGCCATGGTGGGGAGAAACTGGATAAAAAAGGGGGGCATGCAGTGTGATAAATGGGGTAGAGGGAAGAGGAGGAGGGTGAACTTTAGAGATTTGGGGCTCAAATCTGGACCCCAGCACTCACTGTGGTTTTAGATGTGTTACTGGGCTTCTCTCACCCCAGCAGTCCCAGCTCTGAAATGGGGCCCCGGTAACACCCATCTGGTGGGGCGTCGGGGAGGCTGGTGACCGTGATGAGGGGTTCATGCCTCGGAGGCTGTGGGACTGCCCACGGGAGCAGTTCTTCCTTTGGTCTTGGTGGGAGATGCTGGGTCCTCTTGGGCTCTGTCCCCCAGGTGCACATGCCTCAATCACACCCAGGGAGGTGTGTGTGTGCGCGCACACGTGTGTTGTCACATGTACATTTGAATTCATGCGTGTTGAAAACCGCTGAGTCTCCTTTTTTTCCCCTGTGGTTAGGGCAAGAGGTTCCCGAGGCCTGGCGGTGGGTCTGATCAACAGTGGATGTGTGAGCAGAGGGGGGCTGGCGAGGGGCTCAGTGGTTGGAACCTGGCCGGGTTCCCAGATCCACAGCCTCCTTCTCCCTTTGCTCCTGCCGGCCCTTTGGGGCACGAGTGGGGGTGTGCTGTAGTGCCTGATGCCCCCAAACCTGGGGTGTGCCTGGGGGTTGGGGGCGCTGCTTTGAGGCTGGAGGATCATGAGGCAGGGGATGTGCTGGCGAGACTTCTAGAGACAAGCAGGGGCACATCTGCTTATGACCAGCACTCCCACGCCGGGGGCATGGGTGACCCTCAGGAACCACTCCCTGGCTGGGCTGTGAGAAGGTCATTTAGGCTGGAAGGTGGGAGCTGGGTTGGGGGGGCCTGGAACTCAGGACTGGTCTGGAACTCAGGGCTGGTGAGCGTGTGGGGAGGGGATTCAGAGTTCTGCATGGGCACCTCAACCCCCGGCCTTCTCTTTTGTTCGCTTTTGTACTGTCCTTTGTCCCCTGTGCGTCCCTTATAGGTCTTAGCTTGTGTGTGTGGGGGAGGGAGGCTGGTAATAGGGAGGGGAGGGTCCCCAGGGAGGCTTGCGCTGTTCTGTCTGCTTCTTTCTCCTTTGAGTTTGTCCCAAATCCGCCTCTCACTGTCCTCTCTGTGCCCAGCCTCTCCTGTCTGTCCATCTGTCTGTCTCTGGGGAGGGAAGAGAAAGGAGCCCCACGCCCCAGACCCTGGGCCTCCACCTCCCTGGGAAGCCCCCCAGGTATCCCAGTCCTGACCCCTTCCCTGGCCACCGCCAGCCTCTGGGGCAGTGTCCTGGACATGCTCGTCTGAGTCACGCCCTCACTTTTCCTTAAAGGATGCTTTCAAAGGAAGACAGTGCAGGCTCCTTCCTGCCTCTTTCAGGAAACTCCTTAAAGGACGTTCCCCGTCCTTCACCTGCTCACACCAGCGTTAGGAAGGGGGCGGGGTGTGTGGTTAGAGCGTGTCCAGAGCCCCTTCTTCCAACCTCCCCCCTGCCTCATCTGCAGGCATCAGCCCTCCACACTCTCCTGCGGAAGAGCAAGGAGCTGCCCTCGCCCCTCACCGTGGCCCAGAGGGGCCTGGGCCATGTCCTTTTCAGCCCCCTTTGCGCCCCCGGCGCCCCCTAGTGGGCACGGGCAGTCCTCGCTTCGCCGCAGGCGCTGCCCCCGCCCGCCCAGGGACCCCAGGCGGGGAGAGGGCCGCCCCGAGGTCCGGCGCGCCTTGACCCCGCGTGCCCCCTCTCCCCTCTCGCAGATCCCGAGCGGAGCAGCCCCCCCATGCTGTCTGCCGACGATGCCGAGTACCCGCGGGAGTACCGGACCCTGGGGGGCGGGGGCGGCGGGAGCGGCGGGGGCCGGCGCTTCTCCAACGTGGGGCTGGTGCACACGTCCGAGCGGCGGCACACGGTGATCGCCGCCCAGAGCCTGGAGGCGCTCAGCGGACTCCAGAAGGCGGATGCCGACCGCAAGCGCGACGCCTTCATGGACCACCTGAAGAGCAAGTACCCCCAGCACGCCCTGGCCCTCCGTGGCCAGCAGGACAGGATGCGAGAGCAGGTGAGTGGGGCTCGGGGCGGGCTGGGCGGGGGTGGTCTGACCTCGCGCTCCTGCCCCCAGGCTCATTCCGGTTCCAAGAGGCGCCAGGGGCGGGGGTGGGGGGGGGCAGGAGGTGTGGCAGTTGCCCTGCTTGTTTTTTCTGGAGCCTGGGAGGAAGGGGGTGGAGCTCAGCCTCCAGACCTCGGCCTGCAGTCCAGAATTCGGAGCACGGTGGTGGGCTCTGCCCACCTCTAATTCGGGCCATTCAGGCCGTGGGACTGGGCAGAGGGGCGGGCAGGTGTGTGAGGTCAAGGGGAGAATGCAGGGACAGTCTTGGGAACTGACCTTTCTGAGTCTGAGGGTCCACGGGGAAGTGGAGTCAGCACCTCTGATACGGCCTGGGGCCTCAGTTGGCTGGATCTGATGTGCCCCCAGAGGACAGAGTCTAGAACTCCTGGGACCTTCTACCTCCTTCCCCCAAGACATGCTGTGTGACTTTGAGCTAGAGGCCACCCTCTCTGTGCCTGGATCTCAGTCCCGCCATCAGTAAGGCTTAGAGAAGAGGCAGTGCTCCTGCCTCGGGGCTAGGACCTGTCTCTCCTGTGTGGGGTTGGATGCTTCCCTTGGGAACCTCTCCCAGATCCTTGGGTTCCCGGATGCACCTCTTCATCCAAGTATGACCTTCTTGTCTGTAGTAAAGTTCTTTCTTGGGACCAACTTCCGCGTCTAGCCTCGCATCAGCACGATGCTGTGATGGCTACTGAGACTCAGGCATTGTCCACTCTGGGAGAAGGGACTAAGGGAGGGCAGCACAGCCCATCAGCATCATTTCCATTGAGTCTTGGGGTGTCAGTGCCTGTTCCCACACTTGTCTTGCACTGTCCCCCTTTTCAGGTACTGCTGGGGGTGGCTGGGAAAGGGGAAGAGTGTCCCCACTCTCACCCTCACTGCAGGGAACACGGACACATTGGTGCATTTCTGGTACCTTACCTGCCCCTTGATGTCACCCCCAGTTCTGTCTTTACCTGGCTCTAGTTCCAGGAGCAAAGTTCCAATTGGGATAAGTGAGGATTGCAGATGAAGAAGAAATGGTCGTCACCCCCAGAGAGCCCCTCTCGGGGTGCTCTGACTTGGGAGGAGGGGACAGGAGCATTTGTGAACTAAATGGATAAAAGGACCATTAAGCATAAATAGGAGGGGCACAGTCAGTAGGAAGAGGGTTTAGAGGAACAGAGATCAGATGGGCTGGCTGGTCAGAGAAGGCTTCCTGGAGGGGGCGGTACATAGACTTGGAAGGATGAAAAGCGTCAGAATGAACATCAGAGAAGGGAATAGTGGAAGATGGAGACAAGCATGGCCCTGGCTCGCACTGGCACAGAGGCCCACCTGGCTGGTGCCAAAGGGTCAGGGTGGGAGCAGGGGGAGGTGTTGGGGGCAGACGGGAAAAGTGGCGGTGGCTGGTAGGGGGGTAGTGGTTTTTGGATAGCAAACTGGAGGGGCCTTTACGGGGAACCTGAGGCCGGGGGAGAGGAGGAAGAATATGAGGGGACCGAGGGAAAGGGATGGAGGGTTGGATGGAAGACTAAGGAAGGCTTGTTTGCTGCGGGAACAAAAACCCTGGGTCAGGAAGACAGGGTGCCCGGGGAGAAGTAGGAGCACCGGGAGGATGCCTGAGGGTGGGCACGGTGGGAGGAGGAGGAAGAGGGAAGGTGATCACAGAGCGGGTGGGGCTTTCACTGGGGTACCCCTAGGCCCGACTGTGCAGCTGATGGCTGGGAGGTGACCCAGCTTCAGGGGGAGGGTTGGGTCTGATCTGGGCAGAAACTGAGGTGGGGACAGGAGGTGTACAAGCTCTGCCCCAGGCAGAGTAGGGTCTGGGAGGGAAGACAAAGCAAGTGGAGAAGGCCCAGCAGGAGGCGCCCCTGCACCTCAAAGGCAGGGAGGATGGGGGCAGAGAGTTGGGGCTGACTGAGGTCTGTGGTGTTGTGAGCTGCGACCAGTTTCAGGGCGTGGTGAGGGGAAAAGACCCTTGGCCACAGACCTGTCTGGAGTGGCTTGACCAGGAAAAGGCGAAGACAGCCAGGGTGGTGGCCTCAAGGGGCAGCAGGCCTGTGCGGGAAGAAGGGATGTGGCACGTTCACATGGCCTGGCACGTTCACATGTTCTCAGAGCAGGCCCTTGGAAAAACTTAGCTGAGGATCAGGAGCACAGCCACTCACATCCATCCTTTATTCATTCACCCATCCGCTCCCTCCCCCAGAGTGCAAGCGGGTAGCTCCCACGCTTGCCATGGGATGTTCGGTGCCTGAGTTCAGTAAAGGCTTGTGGAATAAATGAAGATGGGTCTGAGGATGCTGCAGGGGGAGAGGGCCTTGGGGAAGAAGGAGCTCCTGGAGGGATCAGGAGTGGGACGAGATTCCAGCCTGGGTGTGGTGAGGCCTTGGGGTGGGAGAAGAAAGTCCAGGGAAGACAGAGTGCTGTGGGGATAGAGGTGCCCTGGGGTGAGGCCCCTGGGGATGACCCCCTGTGTGGGGTAGGAGGTGGGGATCAGCTCCCTGGCACAGTGCACAAGGAGGTGGTCAAGAGTGGTAAAAAAAGAACCTTGGAGAATCTGATGCGGAAGGGGGCTCAGGAAGCCCAGGAAGCCCTTAGTCTGATAGAGAAACATCCAGAAAGAGACCTAGGGCTCTAGTTAGAGACCAGCCTTGGTAAGAGACTTGCCAATGCCACAGTCTCCCTCTGTGCAAAAGTTCGCCCCTGGAATGTCCCTCCCTGCCCCGTCCCAGTCCCCCAGCGGCTCCTGCCCGCTCCCCCTAATGGGGTGTCCCCCCGCCCCCGCTTCGCACACACAGGTTGGCGGCTGGACCGTGGACCCCGTGTGCCTCCTCAGCTCCCTCTGCTCCCACCTCCATGGCGACTCCGCCCCCTCCGGGGCTGGCCAGACGGCCCAGGTGAGTCACCCACCTCCACCCCGCCCCCCAAGGCCATGGCTTTGGGGAGGATTTTTTTTCTCTCAGAGGGGGGAATAAACAGGATTTTTATTTTGCATCCCTTTCTCTTATGTAGGAGCCCTCTGCCCCCATTTCAGGAGGCTCCTGTGTCCTGTAACCACCCTCATTGTCTAATCCCTCCACTCACCACCTCCCCAAAGCTGTGGCAGTTTGGCTCTGGGGAAGGAATTTTTTGAGGGCGAACACTCAAGTTTTGAAAAAAAAAATTGTATTCTTTCCTTCTTTACACGGGAGCACCCTCGCCCCGCCCCTGGCCAGCACATCATTGGTTTTCAGGAGTTTCTTATGCCCTGTTCTCAAAACCCCGCCCCCCCCCCACTGCCAGCCATCTCACACCCCCCTCCTCGCCCTCCTGTTCCTCTCCCAGCAGACCCCGCTTTCCCCGTGTCTTACTACCAGAAGGTTCTTCAGTGTCTTCTCCCACCCTTCTTGCAATGGTCAGGCTTAGTTTTAATTTTTGAAGAGGACTTTGGCATCTAGTCGTTTGTTCTGAACTTATTCCCTGATTCCCATCAAACCTCAGTTTCCCTAACGGAAGGGGGAGCTCAGCTTAGACAGGGTCTGGGCTCCTAGTTCAGGTCAGACGTTGCCATGGGAGAGAAACAGATGCCGAGGTCCAAATGGGGTGGAGGGGCCGGCGTCTCAACGGGCAGGGCACCTTGGTTGAGGGAGCTGAGCTGCAGGAGGCAGAGCAGGGGTAGAGGCAGGGAAGCTGGTGTGTAGCACGGGCGCCAGCTTCACCTCCGCACATGCCCTGTGCCCCGGGCGAGGGCAGCAAAGCTTGACTTTTCAAGGAGAGTTGGAAGGAAAAGGGCGGCAGCCTGGGAAAGGACAGGGCTCCAGAGCACGGATGTTTTAGCCAAGTGTAACTCAAGTCTAGCGACAGATTGGCACACTTGGCATCGCTCGTGGGGCATTCAGCCCACTTCCTTTGACGGCTCTCTGCCCCATCTTGACTGAACTTCGAGGAACAGAGATGTGTCTGCCCCCAAAGCTGGGTGGCAAGTGGGATGGCCTTGCCCTGGGGGCCAGGTGCAGTGGAGGCCCAGGGGGGCGGGGACAGGCATGGTGATGGGCAGAGGCCCTCCCCAGGTGCAAGGTCTCGGGGCTAGGTGGGGGGGGGGGAGGCAGGCCGCACTTGGTGAGTTGTCCCAGGCCGCGGGTTTTAAGGTCTGTCACAGCTGGAATCTGCTCTAGCGAGGAAGGGGGAGAACTTGAAGGGACCCTCATCCCGGGGCTTTGCAATGACCGGGGCTGGGCACAGGATCCTGTCCTGGCACTTTCCGTTCCTCACGGCTGAGCGGAGGCTCCTGTTTGTGAAGTGTGGGATCAGAGGTGCTCAGCAAATGCCAGCGTCACACAGCAGAGCGGCATCGACGGCCATTACTGAGACGGGCAGGCTAGGCTCCCACACGGGGCCGGGGGTCGAGGCGCGGGAGCGCTCAGGGGGCCGCGTGCGCGGCGGGGCATGGCGGGGAGGGCCGCGGGCTCGGGCCACGAGTTCGGAGGCGGGACGCCCTCGTCCCTCTCGCCCCGGGCCAGCCCTGCGGGGGGGGGGCTGAGGAGGGCCCTGGAGGGACCGGCCGGCCGCCCGGCCGCCGCCCCTCCCCGCCGCGCCTCCCGCCCGCTGCAACCCGAGTCCCGGGCGGCGGGCCGGCGTATCGGGTGACCGCGGCGACGCAGCCACCAGGCTCGGCCGCTCCTCGGCGGGGCTGCGCCCGCGGGGCCGCGCCGGGGGAGGGGGCCGGAGAGGCTGCGCTCGGCGGCGCGCCGCGCCGCGCCAGGTGGAGTCGCGGTTACCGGGGCGACCGGGGCCCGGGCCGGCTCGGCGGCGGCGGCTCTCGCATTGCAGCAAAGGGCACCGGCGGCGGCGGCGGCTGCGCAGGCGGCCGGGGGAGGGGAGAGCCCGGGCGGGGGGGAGTAGGGGTCGCCCTCCCGCCCCGCCCGACGCGGGACTCGGGGCCGGGGGCCCCGCGCCCACACCTGTGGCGGCAGGTAAGGCGCAGCGGCCGCGGGGCCGGGGTCGCCGCCTCGGGGGCGTGGGGGCGGGGCACGGAGACGGGGGCCAGCCCTCGCCTCGGAAGCGGCGTCCGCGCGTGGGGGGCTCGCGGGCGATCGCGGCTCCTGATCCGGGAGAAACGCCCCCTCCCCTCCCCCACCGCGTTCGCCGCCTGCCGCGAGCGCCGCGCGCCCACCCCCGAAATGCGGCTGCCGTACCCTCGCCCAGCCTCGTAAAGTCACGACCTTCCCGGGGTGCGCCCTCGCGCGCGGCGCAGCGCCGGCCGCACCCCGCCCCCCACTCGCGCTGCATTGGGAGGGGCGGGAGGTGAGGTGCCCCAGGGCACTCCTGGGGAGGGTCGTGCCTGGGAGGTGAGGTGCCCCAGGGCACTCCTGGGGAGGGTCGTGCCTGGGAGGTGAGGTGTCCCAGGGCACTTCTGGGGAGGGTCGTGCCTGCGCGCCGCAGTGGAGGCGGGCGCTCGGGGGTGCGTGAGGTACCCCGCCTGGGGCGCGGGTGTTTACGTGGACGCGTGTTCCCAGGAGTTGAGAGGTGGGTGTTTGCGCCGGTGCGCGCGGAGCAGGGGAATTGAGGGGCAGGGTGGGACCGATTGGCTGTCCCACCTCCCTGAAGGTAGAGTCTTCTGGGCTCGGGGCCAAAGAGGGGTCACGCACCCACTTAGTGTGCTGGGGACGCCTGCCCTGTGGGGGTTAGAGACCTCAGCCGGCTGGGCTCAGGCCCCCAGGGGCACTCCTGGCCCTCCCAGGACACTGCCGGGGGCGGGGGTGGGGAGGCCCAGCTTCAGGGGGAGGGAAGAACCCCACTAAGGGGGCCTAGGATGGGGGAGGGAGGGCCTTCTCCCCTCCGCCCCAGAGGGGAGAAGCTGTTTCCTCTTCTCACCTGGGAGTTCGCGGACTCCCGGGCCTGGCCTCCCGGGCCCCTCCCCCATCGCCGAGCGCCGGTCTCCTCCGTGGAGGGTTGTTTCCTGTCGTCCCTGATTTCAGAGCATCTCGCTCTGCTTTCTTGGGTCACACTCTTCCCTGCAAGTGATTACCCCTGGCAGAGTCTCCCCCACGCCATCCTTTATTTTGCTCTTTCTCTGTGCTCTGGGAAGGGGAGCACCTCCCTGGGGTGGCCTGGGGGGAGACAGAGACTTTTTCTTCGGGTGGGGAGCCCCCCCCTCCGGCCCCTCCCTGCCTCTGCCCTCCTTCCAGGGGGTTTCTGATACTGGGAAATTCCAAGAGAAAAGGCTGGGGAGGCTGAGCAGCACTGGGTCCAGGGGCCAGCGAGCAGTGCCAGGCGAGTCCTCCCCTCCTCCGAGGGCTGGTCCTCTAGCATTTATTCACCATCAAAGAGTTATTGAGGGCTTACATATACCAGGCGCTGTGTTGGGCACTGCATAGGAATAGACCACCTCAAAAATGGTGAGGCAGTAAGGGGTGCAGGGTTGGAGGGGAGAATCATACTACAGTCAGTGCTCTTGCTGTAGAGCAACCCCGATACAATCACTTCCCCCTAACACTCTCAGTCCCCCAGGACCGTCCCTGGAAAGAGACAGAGACAGGGCATGGACTCTCTCCCCAAGGATCTCTCCCTAGTATGGCTCCCCTGCCAAGGACACTAAGAGTCTCATTCCTGGTGGGGCCAACATGGAAGAGGCTGGTTCTTTGCAGAGTGAAGCTGGAGGGGCTGGGCTCCGTGTGCCCTACCCAAGTTCCCAGAGCCCAAGTTCCCAGCGCTCTGATCTCAGCCCCAGCTCACCAAGCACAAGAGATGCAGCAGCTCCTTCACCTTCACTTTCTAGAAGCGCATGGTTGGCATTTCCTGTGGCACTGATGCCTCTCCTCTGACCCCAGCTAGTGACCCCTCCCTTCCAGGTCTGGCTGCCCCATGCATGTGCCCCGGCCTGGAACCCATGTCAAGACCATGGCCACTGCCACTGCGCTGTGGCCAGTCCTGTCCCTGTTGCCCTCCCGGAGGCCTGAGGTGGGCCCCAGCCGCCTGCACATGCCGACCCCGATGTGTTGACTGGGTTGGGGGCATCTTCTGCCCCTTTAGATCAGGAGCGCAGCTGTCTTACACGTGGTGTCCGGGACATCGCAGCCCGGGTGGCGCAGGTGGCCAGAGGCACCGTAACCTGACTGGTGGGCAGGCAGGACGTGTTTGTGTGCGTACTGTGTGTGTTTCTGCAGCTGAAGGGTGTGCGCTGTGTGTGCGCATGTGTGTACACACGTGTGAATGGGTATCTGCGTCTCTGTTCTGTGACTCCGGCGGCATGCTGAGCGGGGTGTGACTGCCGCCAGTGCCTCTGTGTTCTGTGATGCTGTGGGAGTGTGAGCAAGGCGGGTACCCTGGCGGGGCATGTTTGTGGACACATGGGGTGATCTGTCTCTGAGTTTCTGTTTGTTTCTGGGGGTTGCTGCTGAAGGTTGGTGGAAGGCTCCTCTCCAAGTGCTTGTGCCCTTTTGTGGGCATGTTTTTGTTGCTCAGGGTGTGTTTGTGGTGGTGTCCTTATCGGAGGATGTCTGAGAGTCTGCACGTGGCTCAGCGCGGCGTGGGGCCTGCGTGTTGCAGGCACTGTGGGCGGCTCCCGGGCTCGGGCAGTGGTGCTGGATGAGGGATGGCAGCCTTCTCTGCAGAGCCGTCCATCACCGCCAGGGCTGCGGACACGCTCATCATAAACCTTTCTGTGCCCTCTGCCTGCCCCCATGTGTCCACTCCCTCTGCTGCCCCTCCCCTTCCCAAGGCCACAGGCAGCTGTGGCTGGAGGCCGTTCCTTCTCATCTGTCCCCTGGTACCCATGGGGGTGGCATGCGTCCATAGATTGTTCCAGGCATTGGCTAGGGAATAGAGTTTGCTGTCCACTTCCCCCACGTGACATGTGATTATTTTTGTGTTTCTTGGAGTCAATATGGAGGGGGGGGTAGGGAGAGGTGGGGATTGGGGCCCAGGTGGGTGGTCCTGGTGAGTGGACCTCCTCATCCCAGCCCTCTCCGGGTATCACCCCCACCCTAAGGGTCTAACTTGGGGAAAGCCTCCCTCCCAGCAGTGCCCTTGCAGTCAGCTCCTGTCTGATTCCTCGCTGTCATTAAGGCATTCAGGTGGCACAGGACAACCTTACGTGATGTCCTTCCCCCACCAGGGAACACCAACGTCTCTTTCCTCTACCAGTGACTCTGAGGCCTGGAGAATCTTGTTTGCTGGTGCCAGGCACCCCAGGGCCAGGCCATCTGCAGCCTCCATCTTCCTGCTGAGGCTCGCACCGGTCGGCAGGGTGCCCTCAGCTTTGCCAAAAACCAATCTAGCTTCCGGGCCACTCCTATCTTGTCCTTAGCCATCTGGAAGGGCCTTCTGGTCTCCAGGGAAGGCAGGGTGACCCCAGGTTATTGAGAATGAGGAGAAATCTGAGGCCCCCTCGTTCTAGGGATGCAGAGAGGCCTCCACTCTCATCTCTCCAGCCAAGCGGCAATGCCCATTCTCCCAAACTCCACTTCCCTTTGGTGCCCCAGCTCCTGATTCGTGGCCCAGTGCTGTGGGGCCACTGGCATCTCTCCACTTTTCTCTGTTATCTAGGTCCTCCGTGATACACAGGCCTCCCTGGCCTCACCTGCGCCCCCAGCCTTCCTCTTCCATTCCTGCTTCATCAAACTCCTGAGCCCTAGTTCCGATTCTATTCTGCTCCACTCAGACGCTTCCTGCTCGTCCACCCGGTGGAGTCTAAATACTTCCGCTAGTATTGCAGGGCATTGCTCTGGCCCCAGCCCTCTCTTCGCAGCCCAGTCTGTTCCATTCCCCGGCTCCGCGCCCGAGCACACTGGACTATCCACTGTGCTCTCAACACTGGCCTGCTTGCCCCGGGCACTTGCCACGCTGTCCCCTCTGCTCCGTGTGCCCTTCCTTCTATCTCAGCTGCTCATTTTTCATGACCCAGCTCAAAGGCCACCCCTGCAGGAAGTTTGCCCTGGCCCACCACAACCAGATGCCATTTCTCGGACCCATCAGTGCTGACTGAACTCCGACGTGTCTCATGGCTCCCTGCACCACGGCCATCTGCCCCTTTCCTACCTTTATCTCTCTGAGGGCAGTCACTGTGACTAGAATGTGGCTTGTAAGCATCTGGAATAACCCCCTCAGGCACCTCCTGGGACTCAGTAGGGAACGGGAAATACCAGGCTCCTTCTTCCTCCTGCTCCTGGGAGGGTGGAGGGCCCACATCCCTGGACTGAGTGCTGAGTTCCAAGGGTCTGGAACCTGCCCCTACCTCTGCTCTCCCCTTGCAGCCCTGGCGTAACCATCTCTCTTCTCTTATTTCCATCAGCAGCCAAACTACTGGAGTTTCAAGGTCAGTGAGTGGTGCTTCTGCTTCCGTGGCGACTGCATGTGCTCCCCCCGCCCTGCCCTCCCTGCACATGCTTGGCACAGGGGTGTGCGTCTGGTGCGGGCGGGGGCCTCGGGCTGCGGCTGCTGCTTTGACAGTGTCTGGGTTCATCTGCCAGGGGCTTGTGGATCCGGTGTGTGTGTTTGGGCCACCCCCGCTGGGGCTCCGGGCTGGGGATTCTCAGTCCCCAGGTTTTCCCAGGCTGCAAGGGGCATTTGGAGATGAGAGGAATGACTGATACTTCCCCCAGCCCGGAGAGGCTGCTGGCTCTGAGTGCAGACTTGAACCCCATGATCTTATTGGGGGCCCTGTTCTCTGAACTCAGAGTTCACCATTCAGGGAGGCCCTGTGGTTATGAGTGTTCCTCATCCCTTTCTCATTCTCCACTCTGGTCAGCGCCAGGCCGAAGACTCACAGCCCTGCACTCCCAAACCTGTTGCCCAAGTAAAAGGGCTCGGCTCAGAATCCTCCAGCCCTTTGGAGGGTTGTCCTCCACCAGGACATCCTGCTGACCCCCGGAGGCAACCTCAGGCACCTCTCCCGTCTTCCCTTGGCACCTAGGCCCAAGATAGAACAAGTGAGCCTGCTGCCAGCATCCTGAGTCTCGGCCCCTCCAGTCCTAGACATCATGACGGGGTGGGGGAACAACCCCCGGACTCTGTGCGTGTCCTTTTGCTCCAAGCGTCTGCCTGCTTTCTCTCAGAGAAAAATCCTTGAATCAGAGAGGCATGGTTCAGGGAATCATGGTGCCAGGCAGCGCAGCCTTTTTGGAGGTGTGGGGGTTCAGTAGTAGGCCCCAGAGCCTGGCTGCCTGGTGGGGAATTCCAGTCGGCTACTAAGTTGCTTGGTGCCCTGGGGGAAGATTCCTTAACTCTCCCTTGGGCCTCTGTTTTTCGTCTGTAAAATGGAACAGCAATGTCTTCATCTGGAGTTATTGTAAAGATAGAAAAAATGAGATACTGAGTGTCTTAAACTCAGTGGCTCAGAGCAAGCCCCACACAGCAGCTCAGTAACTATTAGATGCTGACTGGATTCCCGAACCTGGAGGTCACAGTCACTTTGGGAATTTGTCAAAACTCTTGAACCCCAGGCCCCATCCTCCAGAGATGCTGGTTCAGTGAATATGGGGTCCTGGAAAGTGTTTTTTTTTTTTTTTTTTTGTTTTTATAGAGGCATGTTTTACATTTATTTGTTTGTTTGTATACATGCACTGGGTACAGTCAGAAGCGCGGGAGGGTGGGAGAATTCACCAGAGCCAGAGCGGGGTGCAGAGCAGGCAGAAGGACCGAAGTACACTGCTGAGGGGAGCAGCGGGCGGCAGGAGAGGTCTGCGCGCCATGTGGGACCCTCCTCCGGTGGCCGGGAGCAGCCGGGGATCGAACCGGCGCCGCAGAGGCCGCGGGCAGCTTCGCAACCCAGCGCTCAACCACTGCGCCACCGGGGAGGCCCTGGAAAGTGTTTTTAAAGATCCCAAATGATTCTGTTGCAGTCTATAGACAGCCTTTGAGAAGCTCAGACCCTAGTCTGCCCCACCCCTCAAGGTTCCCCGCTGCCTGATCTTAGACGGGAGCCATCAGTGCCTCCCGGAACACCTGCAGCGACAGGTGCTCACTGCCCCCCATGCACGCAGCCCCTCTCCTATCTTTGGGAGCTCTGCTTGAACTACTGTTTTTGTTCTCTTGTCATCTCCCTTGTTAGTCTGAAAGTCCTTCCGAATGTCTCACTTTCCTCTGTCTCGTTGTCTCCGTCCAGGGAGAGAAATGCCAGCAAGGCTTCTCTCTTCCAAGAGGGTTTTCTCCAAAGGTTGTGACATGGGAAGGTGCCCTGAGCAAGGGGCAGGACGGAGGCAGGAACTGCAGGGCAGGGAATGTGGGCATCTCTTCTCCCAGGGTTCCCTGGGCAGGGTCCTGTCTTCTCTTCTTAGGGGTCCCGAGGATCCTTGCCCCCACCCCATCTTTTTACTGGTACCTCACTTGTGCCCCCCAGACCCTGCGGCGGTCCCCTGCTCTTCATCCCAGCCAACTGCCTCATTCTGCCTCATTCTGTAGTCCCTCGTCCATACCAGCCTGACAACCACCGACTTCCAGTTGCTTGGCAACCCCTGACCAACAGGGTCAGACCTGGTACCCCACACAGCCTTGAGGCTGGGGTGACAGAGAGGGGCACAAGCTGGCACCTTACAGCTGAGTCACAGGGTCCAAAATCTGGCCACGAGCATCCCCCAAGTGGGCTCACTCCGATGCTGCCTCCCTCCTCCCCATATGCACGCCCACCCCCTGCTTGAGACTGGATGTCCCCTGAAGGCCCCACATCTGACCTTCTGTGTCCTCAAACCCCCAAGCCACCTTGGAGACAGCTGGGCACGCTGCGCGCCGGAGGAAGACGCTTTCTCTCTCTGAGAGTGCTAATCCAGTTGGAAGATTCAATTGAGTTAATACGAAGATAGAGATTAATTAGGGGCTAATCAGGAATTGAGGAAGGAGGGAGCTGAGGGGGGAGAATAAGTGATTCCTTTTTAGAGATACTTACACAGTTTTTTTATTACTATAAAAACAATATATTTTGGTTGTGCAAAAGTGACCCAGCAGAGAAATGTATAACGTAGAGAGCTGTCTCCTCCATGAGCTAACCAACGTTCATGGTTTGAGTAATTTGTTAAAATAGGCCATTTTTAAAAGAAAAATACAGTTAAGCAACATGATTTCTTGATAATATGTCTGTACATAGGATACATATATGTCTGTAATGTATGTGACATGGAATTCTATAGATCTGATTTATTATCTTTTCCCCTTAAGTAAATGAGTGTCTGTACTCATTTGTTTGAGGGGAGGGCCTGGGGCAGGAGGGCAGGAGCTGTGGCCCTGAGCGACAGCCTCCGCCTGCAGCCAAAAGAGGCTCTTAAAGTGCAATTGAAAAATGGCGGCCCCTCCCCCTGCCCTACAAGAAGCAGCAGGCCAGCTGTCCCTGGGGCAGGGAAAGGTCACTCTGCGTCCCCCTCCCCCACCCCCACCTCAGCTCCCCAGCTAGACAGACCCTCTGAAGCTGTGGCTTCAGAGCAGGGGGCTGCCTTGGGTACCGGTGGGGGCCTTTCAGGGGGCTGCCCAGGCAGGTCAGCCGGGAGGCGACATGCCCTGCAGGAAGGCTGAGCCTGGCACGTGTGCCGTGTGCTCATGTGGCTCACGGGGGGCCTAGCATGTGCATTGCATGTGCTAAGCAGGTAGTCAGAAATGGGGTCCGGCTGACTTTGGAGGGGTTTGGGATGGTGCTCCCACTCACCCCAAGTCAAGGACGCCGAGCCCAGCCCTGTGAGGGCCCATTCCTCCAGAGCCGGATCCTGGGCGCCCCAGCTCTGTTTCTTTCTCCCGTGGACCCTGCTTCCCTGCCTGCTCCTCCGTCCTCCCCCAACTCCAGGAAGAATCAACTCGCGCTCACAAACCCGCCGCTTAATTAATGTCTGGAACTAATGCCCCAATTTGCTCAATGATTCTGCTGCTCACCTCGGTGACAAATTTGTGTTGTTGTTCTGTGGGAGCTTAAAATATCAGGCGTGCCCGTGGCTTCTGCTCAGATGGCTTCTCATCTGGCTTCCCAGGATGCCTGAGTCCTTTGCCCATTCCTTGCCCGCTGGGTGTCCCAGGGAGGCCAAGGCCCCAAGAGGTTGGGGGACTCTCCTGAAGCCACACAGCGAGTCTGGAATCCAGGAGCCCATCCTGTCTGGGTGTGCCGCTGGCTCAGGGGGCTCCCCGGCCTGGATGGGGGCAGCGGGCAGAGCCAAGGGGCTCACGCTTGGTTCCTCCGGCCCCACCCTGCCCTGCAGACCCGCAGCTCACGCCACACTCAGGGAGCCCAGCCCGGGCTGGCAGACCAGGCAGCCAAGCTGTCCTACGCTTCGGCTGAGTCGCTGGAGACCATGTCTGAGGCTGAGCTGCCCCTGGGCTTCAGTAGGATGAACCGCTTCCGGCAGAGCCTGCCCCTCTCCCGGTCAGCAAGCCAGACCAAGCTGCGCTCGCCAGGTACTGCCCGCCCCATCTGCCCTCCCCCCTGGGCGCTGGCTCCTCCCTCTGCTCTTGGGTCGTGGAACCCTTTTCATCGCCTTCACTGCCTCTCGGCCAGTCCTCTGGCTCCTTCCCCACCTACCCCTCCACCCTGCCAGCTCCTCCGCTTCTCAGCTTCTCTGCCCAGCTCCCCTCCACCTTTCTCCCCTCACCGCTTCCTCAGCTTCCGCTGCTCTATCCCTCTCCCTCCAAAGTCCTCTCCTCCTCAGCCCTCTCTCACCCCCTTCAGCAGCACCCCCTTTTTCCTTCTGCCCTTCTCGCCTTTCTTCCCCCCCCCCAGCAACTCTCCTTCTGGGCTCCCTCAGTTTCTGCCTCACCTGGTCCTGCCCCCCATTCCATTTCCTCCTCCAGCCGCGCCCCTGCCCGGGCTGGCTAGCGCGGGGAGGGGCGGCATGAGCGCCTGGGTGCACCTGCACTCGGGGGCGGCGTCCAGCCTCCGACCCTGCCTCTGCGGGACCAGCGCGGCTCCCGCGGGCCGCGCTCGCTCCCCGGGCCGGCGGCGCGGCGGGGGTGCCACTGACGGCGAGGGTGGCGTGTCCTTTGCAGGGGTGCTGTTCCTGCAGTTCGGGGAGGAGACGCGGCGCGTGCACATCACGCACGAGGTCAGCAGCCTCGACACGCTGCACGCACTCATCGCGCACATGTTCCCGCAGAAGCTCACCATGGGCATGCTTAAGTCGCCCAACACCGCCATCCTCATCAAAGACGAGGCTCGCAACGTCTTCTACGAGCTGGAGGACGTCCGGTGGGCGTGGCCCCGGGGGGGATCGGGTGGGCTCCCCCAGACTCCTTCCCAGAGGGGACTCGACTCCACCCACAATTTCCCACCTGCTCCAGACCCAACCCAGCCCTCCCCCTGGCCGCCTGAGCCGTAGCGCCCCCTCGCTCCACCCCCCCACCCTCCCCTGGAGATTGTCCACCCTGGCTGCTTCGCTTTGGCTTGAGCTTACCTGAAAGCGACAGTGAGACCGAGAAGTGGGCCGGGTGACGGCTGCTGGGTGTGTGTGTTGTTAGCCTGAGTGTGGCTGTGGCAGTTAACCTGAGGGTCCCAGATGCGATCCACTGAGGTGGAGTTAAGAAGGGGTTAGGTCACCAGCAGCCTCTTTTCACCCCCTTCCCTCTGCCTGGAGTAGCTGCTACCTCTCCTCCTGGCTGAGTTGCGGGGAGGGGGGATAGTGACCCTCTCCCATCCCCCTCCCTCCCAGGGACATCCAGGACCGCAGTATTATCAAGATCTATAGGAAGGAGCCACTCTACGCTGCTTTCCCTGGCTCACACCTCACCAACGGGGACCTCCGGGTATGGCTGGGGATGCCCATGACTTTGTGGAGGGGGGTGGGAAGATGGGGTCCAAGAGCTGCCTGGTCACTTGTCATCAGGAGCCAGAGCCAGCTTTGGACAAGGAAGGTAGGGGCTGAAGCAGAGGGTGTCCTTCATTAGTTGTGGGGTCCTGTCTTCTCTCCTCTCATCTGCCACGGTCCGCTTCTGTCAGCTAAGGATCTCTCTAACGGGACTCTAGATATTCTAGGAGGCCTCTTCCAGGAAATACCCTTTTGCGTCCCCACCCCTCACCATAAGGTGATCTGTGGGTTGCCCTTCTGGTACTTTCCATCTGCCATGTTTTCATCCATGTTGGGAGCCCAGATGGGAACGGGGCCCAAGATGCAGCAGGAGGGAAAGAGGCAGACCACAGAAGGAACTTCCCAAGAGTCGAGGGGGAGATGCTAGCTCCTCAGGCAAGGGCAAGGCGTCCCCTTGGTGACAAGCCCTGTGGGGTTCGGGAACTGTCTTTTACACAGAGAGAGATGGTATATGCATCACGGGAGTCGTCGCCCACACGGCGCCTCAACAACCTGTCGCCAGCGCCTCACCTGGCATCCAGCTCGCCGCCGCCAGGGCTACCGTCGGGGCTGCCGTCGGGTCTGCCGTCGGGTCTGCCGTCGGGACTCCCGTCAGGGCTCCCGTCGGGCTCGCCGTCGCGCTCGCGCCTTTCCTATGCTGGAGGGCGCCCTCCTTCCTATGCTGGCAGCCCTGTGCACCACGCGGCAGAGCGGCTGGGAGGCGCCCCCGCCTCCCAGGGCGTCAGCCCCAGCCCCAGCGCCATCCTGGAGCGGCGCGACGTGAAGCCAGACGAGGACCTGGCGGGCAAGGCGGGCGGCATGGTGCTGGTGAAGGGCGAGGGCCTCTATGCCGACCCCTATGGACTGCTCCACGAGGGCCGCCTGAGCCTGGCCGCGGCCGCCGGCGACCCGTTCGCCTACCCGGGCGCCGGGGGCCTGTACAAGCGCGGCTCGGTGCGCTCGCTCAGCACGTACTCGGCCGCCGCGCTGCAGTCCGACCTGGAGGACTCCCTGTACAAGGCGGCGGGCGGCGGCCCGCTCTACGGCGACGGCTACGGCTTCCGCCTGCCGCCCTCCTCGCCGCAGAAGTTGGCTGACGTGGCGGCGCCCCCGGAGGACCCCCGCCGCCGCACAGCCCCTACTCGGGGCCGCCCAGCCGCGGCTCGCCCGTGCGCCAGTCCTTCCGCAAAGACTCGGGCTCCTCCTCAGTCTTTGCCGAGAGTCCCGGAGGCAAGACCCGCAGCACCGGGGGCTCCTCGACCGCAGGAGCCCCGCCTCCCGAGCTCTTCCCTGGGCCTGGGGAGCGCCCTCTGGTTGGGTTCGGGCCACCTGTGCCGGCCAAGGACACAGAGACCAGGTAAGCAAAGCTTGCCAGGCCTCAGGCTGTGGGGTAGGATGAGGAAACGTGGCACAGGGAAGACCGTGGTAGAATTTTGTCCTGGGCTCAGACCCCAGAGTCCTTTGTAGAGACCCTGAGTCGTCTTGAGGGGAAGCCAGAGAGTATCTTGGATGTGGAAGGAAGACATTGGAGAGAGGCCATTTTGCTTCGCTCTGCAAGATCTCAGGGGTGGACCAGAGGGTCTCAGGCAAGGATTCTGGAGATCTGGGTTTGCAACGGTTCCCTGAGCCTCAGTTTCCCCAACTAAAATTGAGGCTGTACCCACTCTGTTTAGTGCCTTTCCTACCCAGGGAATTTGCATCCACGAGAGCTGTCCAGCACAGGGTCAGCTGAAGTCCACTAGCAGGGGTGCTGGTGAGAAATAGGGATGGGGAGAGAGGTACACACTCTGTTAGGTAGTCTCCGAGCCGAGAACAGAGGGCGAGACAGAAGAGGTCTGATCAAACTCAGTCAGGCCTTTGCATTCTCTCGGTGATAGTGCTGAGAATTAACCCCTACACCACCAGGGAGCCCTTCCCCACCCCCAGCTAGGAGCTCTTGCCCATCATGCAGCTCCCTCCTAAGGGTTCAGGGCCAGAGGAGGCACCCAGGGCATGGACTTGTCCTCCTGTGCCCTCAGGCAGTTCTGCTGAGCAATAAGAAGCAATTCTGTTTCTCTTGTGCCTGTACAGTCAGGCACTGTACTGGACACTATTGATGCCAAACTGGGCAAACCAAGTTACTCCCCTGTCTAGTGGGGGAAACACATTAAAAACTACTCACCCTTTCTTTGGGGGGGGGTGTGCAGGTGGTGTGGGAGGAGGGACTCAGGCTGCTGGGGGCTCTGGGATGGGTTCAGAGAGGAAGTGGAGAGGAAGGCATGGCAGGCAGGGGAAACCTGCAGATGCACAGAGAGGCCGAGGCAGGGCCTATTAGGGAGCCAGTGGTGAGAAGTGGCTAGTGTGACTGCCAGATGGAGAAGAGCTTTATCCTGATATTAGGGGGTTGGGCATTGGACCCTTGGAATAGTCTGTGCTAGAGATAGGGGAGGGAATGGTATTTCCTCTATTAATTTTAGGAATGGGGTGGGCAGGGGAAAGCCCATGTCCAGTGAAGGGGCTGTTCAGTGCCACTATCCTCCCTAGGGAGCGCATGGAGGCCATGGAGAAGCAAATCGCCAGCCTCACAGGCCTGGTGCAGAGTGCCCTACTTCGAGGCTCGGAGCCGGAGACCCCCAGGTGAGGCTCTTCTCCCAACACCATTGCTAGGGTCTGTGGTTGGAGCAAAAGGAAGGGGAAGTGGACAGTCAGTAAGCGTCCTGGGCTCCGCTCTGCCAGAGTTTTGTGGCGTGACTGTGGGTGAGTTCCTTCTCTCTGGCACCATCCTGTGATCAGCACACAGGTCTGGTGCTAGGGGGGATTAGGGTACGGTCTTGCCCAGCTTTGACTGTCTGGGGCCATCTTTTCCCTGTGCCACAGTGAGAAGATTGAAGGCTCCAATGGAGCAGCCACCCCCTCAGCACGTGAGTGACCCTTCACCCCTCCTCCACAAGTCCTTGCTCTCTCTGAGCCTCAGATTCCCAATCCCTAAGAGAGGATGAAGCAATAGCTACCACCACAGGGCTTCGATGGATAAATGAAGAGTCATCTTAGCCCAAGATGTCTTTGCCCTGGGACTTTGCTCCCTACAGAAAGGCTGACCACCAGTTGGGGCAGGGAGTCAGCCTCGTGCCTTTCTGGCTATGATGGGGTCGGGAGTGGGGAGAATCTTGCCAGGGCTCCTCCCAAACTCACGATTTGTTCCCTTTCCCCCATCTTCGTGGTTCCTCTCTGCAGCCTGCGGGTCAGGCGGCCGGAGCAGTGGGGCCACCCCAGTGTCCGGCCCTCCCCCTCCCTCTGCCGGTAGCACCCCTGCGGGGCAGCCCACTGCCATCAGCCGTTTGCAGATGCAGCTGTACCTGCGTGGCTTACAGAACAGCACCAGTGACCTGCGCAACCAGCTTCAGCAATTGCGAAAGCTCCAGGTACCGCCCCTCCGGGGCTCAGCCCCGCCCTTCAGGCATTGCCCCAACCCTCCCCTGCTAAACCTAGCCAGAAGTCAGACCCAACCCCAGTCCCCCTTCAGAGTCCCGCGCTGCTCGCTGGGTTACACCCCACCCCCAACTCTTCCTGGAGTTCCCGCCCCATCGCTCAATTTCTGCTCTCACCGAGTCCCTACCTCTTGCCACTGTCCCTTTTCCTGAGACATCCTTCCCTTGTCCTGAATCTTCACTGCTCTCCTGTAGCCCCTGCACACCCCACTGAATCCTGCCCCAGTGAGTATTTCTCAGGGCGGCCCCAGTCCCTCACGGGCCCGCATTCCGTTCCCCTTCCACTTCCTTGGGCCGAAGCCCTTCCCCCAGATTCCCTCTGCTCCCCCTTCCTGAGCGCGCCCGGTCTTCTATACCCTGTCCCACCTGGCAGATGGTCCCACCAGTCAGGAGCCTGGCATCGCTGTGCCCGCTCCTCGAGAGGGCCCAGGCCCGTCAGGTGAGAATAATGAGCAAAGACAGGCTGGAGAGGGGGCAGAGCGCCATCTGGGCAACGAGTAAGATCTCGCCCACCCTCACCATCGCCCCAGCTCGACCTTAGAACGGGGCTCAAGCGTTAAGTCTTCCAGCCCAAGCCACGGAAACTCTATCCAACTCAGTCTTTCTTCAGAGCCACAGCCAAGCAACCGCACAGGGACGCCGCACAGGGCCCTGCACAGGCCACCCTTGCCGCCCCCCCTCCCCACCCCATAGTCCTATTCCGTTTGCCCAGAACACAACCTTGTCCTTCGGCCCCCACCATCCCATCCCTTTGCTGTGCCCGCCACAGCCACGTCGCCGCACCTTCCTCAGGATCCAACTTCGCCCCCCTCCCTCCACTCTCCCCCTGTCCCTGCTCTTCACCGGGATTTAGCCGTCGGTTTCTGCCCCTCCACCCCACCCCTTCGCTGCTGCTCGCGGCCCCAGCCGGGCAGTCTGCTCTTCCGTGGGGCCCGCCCGGCGTCGGGCCGTCCTCTGCCCGCCGCCTCCCGAGCCTCGCCCTGCTGCGTGTCTCCCTTCCCTCCCACCCTGTCCGTCCATCCGTCCATCCATCCCTCCTCCCTCTGCGTCCCGCAGCTCCAGAACCAGGAGGCGCTGCGCGCGCTGCTGAAGGGCACGGAGGCGGAGCTGAGCATGCGCGTGTCCGAGGCTGCGCGGCGCCAGGAGGACCCGCTGCAGCGGCAGCGCACCCTGGTGGAGGAGGAGCGGCTGCGCTACCTCAACGACGAGGAGCTCATCACCCAGCAGCTCAAGTGAGGCTGGGCCCGGCGCTGGAGGGGGGCTGGGGGTGTGCCCGGGGCCCCGCAAGCTGGTTGCACTGGGAGGCGCCGCTCCCTGTCTTCTGAATCGCGGGGGACGTGGGTCTGTTCCGAAGCCTTCTCCTCTGCAGCCTGGGTTCTCTGTGACTCACAGACCTCTGACCACCTGGCACAATTCCGATGTTTCTTTTTCTTTTTGATGCTACTTTTGCTATGGTCTTGCTACCTGATGGTCCACAGCCTGATCTCCTGGTGGCTGCAGTGGCTCCTAGAAAGGCTGTAGCCTTGCTCTTCTGGGGCCAGCCATCTGGTTTTGCCCTGCCCTCTGCCCACTTTCATTCTGGCCTGTGGCCTGTGCCAGTCAGCCCCGGGGTAGAACGTTTAGGTGGAGCTTCACAAGTGTTACCAGCTTGGTCAGTGCCATGCTGACCAGCCACAGTGGCTGCCACTGCAGTTCCCTGACCTCTGAGGCCAGGCATAGTCAAGGAAAATGCTCCTCCCGGACAGTGCAGCTTAAATGGGCCGTCAGCTTCTTCAGAAAGAGTGAGGAATAGGGAACACCTGGCCCTCAAGTGCTCAGACATGGAAGGGTTAACAGGAGACAGTCTTCTGATCCAAATTTAGCAAACGGCTGTCTGGCCAAGATTCGATTGTCTGGCACCACTGAAGGGAGACGCTGCCTTTCACTGTCCATCCACTGAGTGAGCAGCCCCACCCCACGGCAGCCGTCCCTTGTTAGCACTGGCATCCGAGACAGAGGCCCCCCCTCCTTCCTCAGGCCTTCCTCTTGGTGGCACAGGGCACAAGGACACCTGAGGTCTAGCTCCAGCACCGAGGAGCCAGTTTCGCCCTTCCCTGCATTTCACCTTCCTCGTCTGTGACCAGCATTAAGGTGTTTGCAAGTCAGGTCTTTCCAGAGAGGGGCCCAGGGAGGCCGGAGTGAGTGCTTCAGCAGGTGCACAACATACAGCCAAGTCATGTTTGGCTATACCTCTTGCAAAGGGCCTCTTGGGAAGGAACCTTGCTCCTCAGCTGTGGGCCCAGGCAGCCCGGCGCTACGTGTGCATTTCACACGGCTCACGGCGGAAGTTCCCATGGCGCCATGGCTGAGATGAAACCAGGCCACCCCCTCTCTCCAGGTTGGAAAGCTTAGTGACGACACCTGTCAGATGTACAAGTAGACTGGCAGCTGCCATCCCCCTTCACCCAGGAAATTCCATTTCCCCAACTTTCTTGTCCTCTCCTTGCCCCTTTTCACTCAGCACAGAGGAGCCAGGTTGGAGCTTTCAAAAGGAACTTTACTGAGACATTAAAGGAAATGAAAGGAAATATAAAATCACAGAGGCAGGAGAGATGAAAGGATGGACTTATGCTCCTCTCATCTGAGTGTCTGGTCCTCAGCTTCCTGGGGGCCTCAGTTCTCCGGGAACGCAGAGACTCCACACACCCACACTCTACCCTCTTGTAAAACCCATTACTCAGCCTGCTACTTGAGAGAACTTGGGGGCTGAAATGTTGCTTCTGGCAGGATTCTCCATCCTCTTTGAAGGGTGCTTATGCCTTTTTTAGGTGGGGCCTGAGCTGAGGTGCATACAGCCCTGTGGTGGCTCTGATGTGGCCGCCACAAGGTCCTCCCTGCCCGGTTCTCATAGCCTCCCCAGGCACTGGGTGGAAAAGCAGGCCCATCCCTACCCCTGCTCTGCCTGCAGACTGTACTATTGCTCATGCTGTGTTTTGCTCTGCCCTGGCATCTTGCTGAAAGTTAAGGCCCATCCTGTGCCTATTCAGCTTGGCTCCGTCTATCGAGCTCTGCCTAAACAGTGCCCATTCAGGCAGCCTCTCCTGATTGGGACCTTTTGGCCTCTGGAGCCTTCCTCTCCTAACCCAGGTCCAGTTTTATAGGTATTGACCTGCAGTCACACAGGGTCTCCTGCTCAGAAGGGCCCCTTGCTCTGTTTAATGCTCTGCTATCCCTGTCTTGAAATCCTTAACAATTTTTGAACTGGGGACAATAGTCATTTTACATTGGGCCCCACAAATTATATAACTAGTTCTGTCCTACCCTGTCCTTCTTGACCCCTCCAGGACTAGATCTGGGTCTGGCAAGCCCAACCACTTTCTGATCCTGGTGTTTAGACTTGAGCTGGAGTGGGACTCATGTACATAGCTAGTCCCCAAACTTTAGCAGATTGGATGACCAGAAAATTGAGGTGCTGATTGAGTCCAGGGGGAGCCTAGTTCCTTCCACCAGAGAGTTGCCATGCTGTCTCCTGATGGCTTACCCTTTAATTTAATTGAGGGTCTTCCCCCTTAGAGCCATGTTTGGAAATGAGCATTGCACAAACCGGGCCTACCCTGAGCCAGTCAGGTGTCACACACAGCAGAGAGTTGTTCTTTCCCATGTGGCAGAGTGAGGGCTGGGCAGGACAGAGGGTGAGTGTGGGATGGTGTTAGTCCAGTGTGGGAGTGGAGTGCAATAGAATCCGGGGTTCTGTTCTATAGAAGTCAGACATGAATAGATCCTGCTTTGCCACGAAATAGTTGTGTGACCTTGGGCAAGTTAGTTAATCTCCCTGAACCACTGTTTTGTTTTCTTTTTTAATGTTGAAGCTTGCTGTATTAGTTGGGGCAGCTTATTAGTTAGGATGGTTGCCATAAAACTTGTATAATGGTTCAAAAGTAACAGACATGTTTTTCTTGCTCATGGACATTGGGTAGCTGAGTGGCTCCCCTCCTTGCAGTCTTTCAGGGACCCAGGCTGATGAAGATTTGCCATCTGCAGTATGTGCCTCCTTGATTCACCCAGAGGGGCATTGCCTCTCAGTCAGCAGGAAGGGGGAAAGAGCATGGAGGAGCTTCCATGGGAGGGTTTTATGGGTCAGACCTAGAAGCAGCAGGTACCCCTTCCATTCATACACCATTGGTTCTACCTCAATGAAATGCCCACTTCCAACTGCAGAGAAAGCTGGGAAATGTAGGCTAGTGTCTGATCTGTTTGTCTGTGTGTGAACTGGAGGTATAATGGTTCCCACTCACAGGATTTGTTATGAGGATTAAATAAGGTAAGGAAAGTGAAGGGTTGAACGTGGCACTGGCATACACTGAGTACTTAACACAAGGTAGCTCTTTAATGGGTAGGGCTGAGTCACAGGATTTTGTCCTCAGCTCCACTGTGGTCTGTCTGCTCACCAGCTAGATTTAGGCATGCTGCTAAGATTGGCTGATGACACAGAGCACTGAGGAGGAGTGAATCTCTTCTATGGTAGAATTGAGCTTTAAAAGTTGTTCCCACCTGGATTGTTGAACTGAAATCTAACAGATGGGATTTGACATCTGTTAGATGTGTGTAAAGCCCCACCCGCAGGTTAGCAATGTCAGCGGCTCAAGTAAAGGATCGAGATGACCTACCTGGGCAGCAGTTCCTTCTTTCACTTACTCATTTATCCCACAATTATTTACCAGGTATCTCTGCTCCAGGCACTGTGCCAGGTGCTTGAAACAGACATGAATCCAGAAGATATGGTTCCTGCCTAGACCTGGTGGTCCAGGAGGCTGCACAGCCCAGCCAACAGCAACTCCAGGGCTCGGGAGGGCAGGAAGTTCACCCCAACACCACATGTAGGGAGAGTGGGAGGAGGGAAGTTCCCATTAAGACTGAGGACGAATGAAAATTACTCCTGCATGTGTGTATGTGCATGTGTGTAAGAGTATGGAGTGTTCCAGGCAGGAGAAACGATGTTATAAAGACTCAGAGAGGATTGCATGTTCACGGACCTCAGATCATCATTCTGGACAGTTCTCAACAGAAGCAACCATAAGAGGAATAGGGATGCAGCTGGCGGAAAATAAGATTGACCCGAGGCTGCTGACCTCTGCCACCTGCTTTCCCAGCAGCATTAGCTCATTTCATGCTCATAGTGGCCTCTGGGGGAGGAGCTCTTACCACCCCTGTTTTATAGCTGAGGAAGTGACAGCCGGGAAAGTAGGTGATCTTACCCAAGCTCTTGCCACCCGGATGGGTAGAACTGGGATTGGGACATGGATCTGACTGATGCTAGAGCCAAGTTTTCAGATGCTGCCCTCATGTCCCTGCTGATTGAAGAGTTTGCGTGTTAGTGTCAGAATGTGGGACCCATTTACAGTTCAACACTGGGGTGGTGACTGGGACTGATTTACATTTTAGAAATACGGGTTTAAATGGCACAAGCTGGGTATAAAGCAGGTGACAATTGAAAGCAGTTCTGTCCTCAAGGAAAGAGGCTGAGTGTCTCGATCAGTTGAGAGAAGATAGGTGGACATGGCAGTGCCACCCAGCAAGAGAAAGGACCCCCTAGGGGCCTGTGCAGCTGCCTCTGCTTCTCAGAAGGGCTGCCAGGTTCTCTGCTGCTTCCTTGGCAGAGTGAGAATCAGAGGATGCAAGTTATAGGGAGGGAGATTTGGACTGATGTTGCTAAAGATCAGAACTTCAAAGAGGAGTGCCCAAGGGCACCTGGTAGGGAGCACCTCTGAAGTTTCACCTCTGAGGTTGGCATTTCTGGTTTCACTTGGGCATGTGGCCTGGTGGATGACTTTTAATTTTGATCTGACTGGTGGTCTAATTTCTTTCCAACTGCCCAATTTCAGGGGGCTGGGCTGGGGCCAGAGGGGCTGAGAGGGTCTCTCTGTGGCTGCAGTGACCTGGAGAAGTCTGTGGAGAAGATCCAGAGGGACGTGTCCCACAACCACCGGCTGGTGCCCGGGCCTGAGCTGGAGGAGAAGGCGCTGGTGCTGAAGCAGCTCGGGGAGACCTTGACTGATCTCAAAGGTGAGCCTGGAGGCTGGTGAGCATGGCCAGTGGTCTGGAGTGAGATGCCCACCCCTCTCCCAGGCCCTGCCCTGCCTGCTGCCCCTTCTCCTGGTTCCCAGAGCTGCTCCCTCCCTAGCACCCTCTTTCCTGTCCCCTCAGCTCACTTCCCAGGCCTGCAGAGCAAGATGCGGGTTGTGCTACGTGTGGAGGTGGAGGCCGTGAAGTTTCTAAAGGAGGAGCCCCAGCGCCTGGATGGGCTACTCAAGCGCTGCCGTGGGGTCACGGACACACTGGCCCAGATCCGAAGGTCACTCTGCCCCTGATCTCTTATTTCTGATCTCTGATTTCTTATGGGTCATTCACTGGGCTCAGATCTGTAGCTCCACCTTACCCCTTATCCTCACTCCCGCAAATGTCCAATGTGCAGCCTGGGCCTGCGCCTAGTTCTGACCTGTGACCCCTCGCATATCAGAGGCTCGGCTGTTCCTTATGCTGGGTCAGCCACTCCTCCCCAGGCTAGACTTCTCTCCATCGGGCCACCCCCTGCCATCCTCACAGATGCTCCTAACTCTCCAAACCCCAGGCAAGTGGATGAGGGCGTGTGGCCACCCCCCAACAACCTTCTGAGTCAATCCCCCAAGAAGGTGACAGCTGAGACTGACTTCAACAAGACCTTGGACTTCGAGATCCCACCCCCCAGCCCTCCGATGAACCTCCATGAGCTGAGTGGGTCAGCCGAGGGGGCCCCTCCTCTTCCCAAGGGGGGCAACCCTACCAAAGGCCTGGATGCTCCTGGCAAGAGAAATGTGGACAAGGCTGTGTCTGTTGAGGTACTGACCCAGGAGGGAGGCATGAGCTAGGCTCACACATTTTACCACCTTCCGAGGGTGGGAAGAGCCACTTTTTTTCTGGGGGAGGAGCATCATTTCTCTCATGGAAGTCTGAGAAGTATATCAAGGGTATATTAGTCCTGCTAGAAAGAAAAGCATATATAAAGCTGTAATAATCAAAGCAGTGTGATGGTAGCATAAGAATAGACTATGTTCAATGAAACAGAATAGAATGTCCCCAAAGCAGGTCTAAACATATCAAGAGAATAGTGTGTACTGACAGTGGCTTTCCAGGCTCCTGGGGAAAGCATGGGATACTCAAGAAGGTGTCCAAGGGTCCCGGTGGGAGTGGGTACCCAAAGTGAGGCTTCCTATTACATTGCTTTGCATGTGCGGTGAGGGGAAGGGATCAAGGCCCCAAAGCCCCAAGAGCAGGCCAGATGCTTCAGTCCTGATTCTCCCCATTCCTCTCAAGGCCGCTGAGCGAGACTGGGAGGAGAAGCGGGCAGCCCTGACCCAGTATAGCGCCAAGGACATCAATCGGCTGCTGGAGGAGACACAGGCAGAGCTGCTGAAGGCCATCCCTGACCTGGACTGTGCAAGCAAGGCCCACCCCGGTGTGGCCCCCACCCCTGATCACAAGCCCCCCAAGCTTCCCCACGGGCAGAAGGCAGCTCCCCGAACAGAGCCCAGCGGGAGGAGAGGCTCAGGTAGGGGGCAGCTAGGGGGGTGGGGTAGAGCCTAGAGAAGGGGAACCCCATCCCCAGGAGCTCCCGGGTTGATGGGGGAGGCACATTGGAGTAAGAATCTTTGTGGTCAGGTGCCAGGGTCAGCAACCCAGCACCCATCCGCGAGAGGGAGACTGGATGGGGAAGAGCTGCCCTGTCCAGGGCTTTTCCCGCTGCTGATTGCTGCCCAGGGGATGCCGCAGGGTCAAGGAGTGTGTCCAGGCAGAACAGCACCACTGTCTGCACAGCCTGACCGAGGCGAGCCTGGAGCCAGGCGGCACTGAGACGGGGTACAGCACTGCCCCTGTCCATACAGGCTTGGTTCCTGTTCTCCCCGAGTCTGTACGCTTGTAGGGGAGACAGAAATCCAAACCAGAAATGGCAGTCATTCATTCATTCATTCATTCATTCCATGTCTGTTAAGCACCTACTGTGTGGTGCTAGCAATAGAGAAACAAAAAAATAGGGAAATAAGACACTGCTTACTTTCAAGGAGCTTAAAATGTAGTGGGGGGATAATACTAATCTTTATGTTTACCAAGTAGTTAACATGTGACAAGAATTCCAGATGCTTTCTATGTATTAATCCTTATAACTTCTCAACAACCCCAGGAGGTGGATACAGTAATCATTCCCATTTATAGATAAGGTCACTAGGCTCAGAGTAGTTCAGTAATCTGGCCCAGGCCCTATCTGGTGTGTTACAAAGAAATAGAATGCAGGTGCTAGATGCAGTGGGGGGGGCGAGGGGGGGTATCAGGGGGTGGTGTTCGGGGGGGGTGTTGGGGGGGGTGAGCTCCCAGGAGACCCTGGGAGGGAGGGATGGGCTCCCCAGAGGTGGGAACCATCTCTGGAGTAGGTGTTTCCCTGGCTGGTGAGAGAGGGCATTCCAAGGAGAGGCATGCCATTTGCAAATGCTTGGAGGCGTGTGTTTGCAATTGCCAGGCTGGCCCTAGCCGGGCTGCAGCCAGAGAGCTGAGGCTGAAAGATTGGCAGGCTTGGCGGTAGCTGGGCCAGGGAGCTTGGACCTTGTTTGGGGTAATTGGGGCCACTGGGGGATCAAAGGCAGAGAAGGGTCAGCTTCCAGTGACCTTTCTGCAGGTTGCCTTGGAAACATCTCCTGCTCCCCCAGAAGAATTGGGGGAAGGGAGAGCTTGGTGGGCGGAGTCCGCACTAGCAGTAGTAACCATGGACGATCTGTGCCAGGGCAGGGGCTGAGGGGCCTGTGGGGAAGAGACAGGTTAGAGCCTAGAGCCATGCTTCTCGAGCTTGAGTGTGCTTGTGAGATCACCCTGGGGTCCGTTAAAATGTGGATTCTGATGTAGAGCCCTCCACCCCCCAGCGGAACTGAGCTTCTGCATTTCCAACTCACTCCCTAGTACAGCCAAAGCTGCGGGTCCAGGGCCCACACTCACAGGGGGTGAGTGCTATAAGAGGAGTAGCTGAGTTTGGGACCAGAGCCTGGGAAGTTAAGAGCGGGGTGCAGGGTCCTTTCCTCTCCCTGGAAGAAGAAGCAAGGTTATTTCCTTGGAGTCAGATGTGGCCAACGAGCTCCAGGGTTACGGGTCCCCTGATCCCCAGTCCCTGGGCTGCCCACAGATGAGCTGACAGTGCCCCGATACCGCACGGAGAAGCCTTCTAAGTCGCCCCCGCCACCCCCTCCTCGCCGGAGCTTCCCCTCCTCCCACGGCCTGACCACCACGCGCACTGGAGAGGTGGTAGTCACCAGCAAGAAGGACTCAGCCTTCATCAAGGTACTAACGCCACTGGACAGGAGACGAGAGGGGGAAGTTGGGGGATGCTTGACATGACATCTGGATACCCTCGGGGCATGCCCTCTCTCCTCGGAAGTGGAAGAGGGGGGCTGGCAATGGCGACTCTACCCCTGGCTTGGGCTTCATCCTGGGAAGGGGCCCATCCTGGCAGGGCAGCAGAAGTGGCAGAGGAGGAGCAGGGGCAAGTGGGGGTGGTCTGCAGCTGACAGGGTTGGTGCCAGGAGTTGGTGCTGGAGAGAGCGCCTGGGGAGGGCCTGGTCCTGACTGGGGCCGGGGCCTTGCAGAAGGCTGAGTCCGAGGAGCTGGAGGTGCAGAAGCCACAGGTGAAGCTGCGTCGGACCGTGTCGGAGGTGGCCCGCCCGGCCTCCACGCCACCCATCATGGCCTCGGCCATCAAGGATGAGGACGACGAGGACCGCATCATCGCAGAGCTGGAGGTAGGTCAGGGGCCCGAGCACCTGGGTCCAAGCAAGTCACCAGCCAGGCCCGCTCCCTCTCCCGGCCGCGCTGATCCTGGGCACGGCGGTTGGATTAGGACGGGATGGACTCCTGCTCCCCGCTGAGTGCTGGCCTGTTCAGGACCCCTCCTCCTTCCCTCCATTTCTTCTCCACTGTTAAATGGGGGGGGGGGGCATCTAAAGTCCCTCTTTGCAGGTTTGTCTGTTATGGGAATGGTGTTTTAACGCCCTCATTCCCAATGCTTTGAGCCCCCCAAATGCTTAAAGTCACCCAGACTCGGGTGATCTCAGCCCTCCTCTGCCTGTGACTGGAGACCCTTGACTCCCAGGGTCTCTACAGCAGGAGACAAACTGGAGGGCAGAGTGGCCAGTGGCCATGGTGAGGGACCAAGGAGCGAGACTGGAGTCCCAGTGCCAGCCCAGCCCATTCCTCCCCTTGGAGGCCTGAGCCTGACCTGTTTTCCTTCCTGTGCCCCATTCTCCAAACTTTCCCCCACCTTGTGCTCCCCAGGTATTTGAGAGAAGCTCAGTGTCTTCCCTCCCCCCCACGCCCCGCCGCCAGCCGATCCCCACCTTGCTGTCCCCCCAGGACACGGGGCCCCCTGGGGGCTCAGCCCTGGGCCCCACATGGAAGGTAACGGGCTGCCCCCCCACTTTCACGGCTCTCTCTCTGCCTGTGCCTCCACAGCTTCCTCTCCGCACCTGTCACGCTAACCTGCTAAAACACTAGTCACATCCCCAGGTCCCCCACAGCCACCTCCTCACCCATGTGAACTCACCCCTCCCCCACTCTAAGCCCCTCTGGGAGAGGAGAAGCCAGCAGCCCGTTGTCTGGGGCCTGCATGGCCCTCCAGGCTTCAGTGGCCTGTGGTGGCCTGGGTCTTTGGTTCCGATCTGCTGCCGAAGTCTAGGTCTGACCAAAGCCTGGGTTTGTCTTGGTTCAAGATTGGATTTGGATCTTGCTTGCTAGATGACTTAAGGCCCAACTCACAACCTGCCTTTGTCCTGAGCCCTTGCCTAGTGCCCACCCCGCCCCCTGCTCTGCTGCCTGTGCCAGCTGGGGGCTCTCTTTCTCCCATTGGAGTCGAGACCTCGCACTGGGGACAAGGGCGAGGCTCATTTACAGCCTCCTCCACCCTGAGGCCCATCCTGCCCCCTCTGGTCAGGAAGCTTGGAATGGAGGAAACTCATCCCCTCCCTTGGCTGCTGGCTCCACATCTCAGCGTCGGGAAGGCTTCCTTCTTACGTCAGCCTTGCTGCTCTCCTGCTGCGTTTATCTCCTCCTTGCTCTTTCTTGGGAATTTGGGGCTGGACCCACTGTCTGCGCCACCAGGGCACTGTGCTCAGGGAGGGCAGCTGGGCGGGTCTGGTCTGGGAATCTCCCTCTGACCAGGCAGGTCAGGACAGAGGGCCTCTCCTCTGGGCTGGGCAGCCTCTAGTGCACCTTCATGCACCTTGCCTCATCGGTTCTCTGGGCCCACGTGGGCTCCATGCTGGCTGCCAGTTACTTCTCACCTGCTGGAGGCCTGGTGGTGCTTTGTCTCCCTGACCGGGGGGCAGACAGACACCAGACAGGTGGGCAGTGCTGCCTGCTGGGCAGCGATGGGCAGAGCTACCCAAGGCATTGCTGGGGGATGAGCAGTGTGGAAGGGGTGCCCTCCAGGCCGTCTGTGCCCTCAGCACTTGTCCCACTGCTCCTAGCCTCTGCCCCTTTCTGGCTCTGGAAGCCAATCCTGAAGGGGCCCAGTGGCAGAGCCCCTCTGCTGGCCTCTTGGGCCTCGCTCACCCTCTGTATCCTGAGGCGCTGTCAGGCGGTGAAGCCGGGCAGGCATGGGGTGCCCTCTCTGCCTTCCCAGTCTGCACCCCCCACCTCCAGGTAAGCAGGTGGCAGGGCTGGTGGGTTGCCTTGGGAGGAGGGCTTGGGATCCCGGCTGTCCCCCCGAAAAATCTCCCCATGGCTTCTTTTGGGGGGAGGAGGGAAAGCACAGGATTTGGAGTCAGATTGCCTGGATTCAAATCCTGGCTCTGCTCCTAACTAGCTGTGTAAAGGACCCTGAGTGAGCACGTGACCTCACACCCAGGGTGTGTTGTAAAGTGGGGAAATGACAGTCGGAGCCATTTTGTAAGGCTTAAAGATGAAGACACCTGAGGCCGAGCCCACCATAAGACTGAGGCTCAGAATTAGGCCAGGATTTGCTTAAGTTGGAGGGGGCGATTGGGGGTCTCTCTCTGTGGCCCCACTGAGGTCAGAGTTGACCGTGCTCACGTGGAAGCAGATGCTGTGAGCAGCAGAGGGATGGGCCTCTCCTCCCCTCTCGTGGCTGCGAGGCCCTTGCAGAGAGCTCAGAAGTAGAAGTGGGGACAGCCTTCCCTCAGAGGCCAGCGTCTGGGCTCCACCTGCGCCTGCTGGTGGAGAATGAATCAGTTCGGTTCAATGAATAGTTTCCCCAAGCACTTACAGCGTGGCAGGCACCCTCTCCGCACGTGCCCATGTGCGTTCCCTGGGTTCTTGGGGGCGCAGCCTCAGAACCGTTGCACAGATGGGCAGACTCAGGGAGTCCCCCTGCGACCTGTCACTGAGTTTAATGTATCTTGACCAGAAAGTGGGAAACTACAGGGTGCGGTGAGAGACCCCTGGTACCTGCTTTGCCTCTAACTTGGTGGGTAAAACCTTCAGGGCCCTCCCCTGACTCAGTTACCCCCTCTATGAAAGGAAGGGGCTGGGCTCCCCATGTCAAACCCCCATCCTGGCTCGGGTCCTTGGGTTTACAGGAATCACACTCTCCCTCATCTTTCTTCTCCCCGCAGGCGGCCATGGGCCCCAGGGCCTTCTGTGTCCCCCGGATCATCTTGACGGAGTGTGTCCCCAACCCTCCCTCCCCACCAGAGGCCAGGCTTGAGGAATCTAGCTCCAGGATAACCCCCACCCCGAGGCCCAGGACCCTGGTTGGCAGTGGGAGGGGCTGGGATGGCCCCCGGGCTCCGCCAGGGCTTGTGGCTGAGGCTTCCTGGCCCAGGAACAGTCTGATGCCTGAGAAGGAAGGGGCGGCTCTGAAGAGACTGGGGAGCGGGGGCTGCAGCCCAGAGGAGGGAGGAGCCAGGGCCATCTGTTCTCGGGCACCAGCCCCAGAGAAAACTCAGGAACCCTCAACAGCTGACATCCAGCCAGCGGAGACCCCCAAGGATTCTGGACACGATGCCCAGCCCAACAGTGGGGGACACAAGGGCCAGCCTGCTGTTGGCCAAGGGGGCACAGTGAGGGGCGCCGCCACCCAGCGGATGGACAGCCTGGAGGAGACGCTTCGGGAACTGGAGGCAACTCTGAGCCAAATGGGCACGGCCCTCCCCACAGGGTCTCCTGGCAGCCCTCCACCCTTGCCCCCCAGTCCCCAGGTGGCTACCTCCTCCCCTGGCCTCCCCTCCTGCCTTCGCACTCGTCTCTCCATCTGCAGAGCTGGAGGGAGTGGGGGGCTGCAGGAGCAACGTCCCAGCCCCCTCCTCCCACCCACCTCCGCTCAGATCCTCCTGCCCTCCTGGGAGCCTGCCCCGGGGCGGGGCTCGCAGGCAGAGCCCTGGGGAGGCTGGGAAGCTGGCCTTCCCAGGGGTCCGCTCAGCCCACCCCGACAGGGACCAGGGCCTCTCCCCGCTGCTCTGTATCTGTAAACCAACAAATAAAGTTCTCTCCCTCTTCTCCATCCCACGCTCCTCTCCCCCTCCTGCCTGCCTCTTTCTGTCTCTGTCCGTTCCTGCCTGCGCCTCTGCATCTCAAGAGCCTTCTGGGCAGGCCTGGCACCTGGGGTGGATCGGAGGCCAGACTGGCCCATCTCTAGGACTTCGCCCTCATCCTCCCGTGCGGAGAAGGCTGCGGGCCGGGGCTGCCATTCCGTTCTGTCTGCGTGTACAACCCCCTCTCCCCACCCGCCTCAGACATGCGCTCCCAGGCGTGGATGCTGCTGCCGTTACTGGGAGCGGGGGTGGTTCGAGGGACCCTCATGTTAGAAATGAACCCCCCCCAGGAGGGTACCAGCTGCTTGTTTCCAAGGAAACCACCCAAGTTCTCAGTGAAGAGCTGCCAGGAGCCTGGCTAGGAGCCCCTGCTCCCCGGCCTGCAGGGAGGCCTTCGATCTGGCCCCTGAAAGTGGACCCGAGTCCCAGGCCCAGATGTGGAGCCAGGGACAAGTCCACTGAGAGGTCTCGACCCAGGGATCCCACCCAGTGCCTTGGGTCCCATGTGATTCCGCTTCCTGTGGGGCCCTCCAGCCTGACCCTCTCCTCTCCCTGCAGAGCGGCGGTGGCAGCGTGCCACCCATGAAAGTGGTGACTCCGGGGGCCTCTCGGTTGAAGGCGGCCCAGGGCCAGGTGGGCAGTCCGGACAAAGGCAAGCATGGCAAGCAGAGGGCGGAGTACATGAGGATCCAGGCCCAGCAGCAGGTAAGCATGGGCCTCCTCCACCCGGGCCCGGCCCTGCCCCGCGTCCTGCCAGTGCTCCTGTGACCGCCTTCTCTGCAGCTGCCCAGAGAGACCCCTTGCCAGCACCACCCACTCCACTGGCCCCCTCCCCTCACACATACCCTCTGTCCTCCCCGCCATCCCAGTGCCTGGGTCTGGTTTAGAACAGACCCCCGCCCCTCTCAGGATGCCCCCCACTCAGATTTAGAGAGGACCCTCTCTCTAGCTGCTCCTGGAGGAGGGGGAGCGGGTGGACTTGTCCCCACCAACCCCAACGCCAGGGTCCCTTCTGAAGTCCCGTCTGCCCTGGGTGTTCCAGGGGCCTTTCGTGCCCCCTCGACTTCCTGCTTAGCTCCTCTCCTGCCTCCTCTCTCTGCTCCAGGTCCCACCTGCTCCTTGGGGCCCCACCTTCACCTCAGCTTCCTTCTTAGCTCCTAGACCATCTCCCAGCAATAGGAGAAGCCAATTTTGCATGTTTTTCTGTCTTGTGCTTGGATTTCAGTGGGTTCCCTGTTGACACTTGCGGGGAGGGGAGGAAGAGACACTTTGGTCCCCAGGTGGGGTGTGAGTGGCAGGGGCACTGCACCCTCTTTCAGATCGAACTAGTAGGCTGGGGACGGTGTGTAGAGTTTGCGGCCCCTCCAGTGGATGTTTCTGGCTATGGCCACAGTCTGGGCAAAGGTGCAGGGAGGGCCCTGGGCCTCGCTGTTGAGGGGGCCCTTTGGCACACTCATTTGCTTGGGTAACTGTTTCTGAGCAGCTCCTGTATGCCAGGCCCATCTGGGTGCTGGGATGGGAGTGAGGGAGCTGTGAAACATCCAGATGCTATGACTTGAAGAAATTTCTAGGCCCAGAAATTTCTCAGAGGCAGGAGACTAGAGATGGGTGCATCACAGCCAGGTGTGGGGTCCAGGAGTCCCGAAGCCCTCCCCACCACCCAGCCCTGCGGGCCCGGCACACAGGCCCCACCTGCCTGCTGGTTCGCTGGAATCCAGTGTCAAAGGGCCATGCAGCCCCTCCCATCCCCTGCCCAGCCTCACCAGCTCCCCCGGCTCATCATCTTCCCTGTGGGTCCCCAGAAACTAACCCCAATCCCCCTTTTTCCTGCCGTGGCCTGGTGGGTGAGTTCCCCCGGTGCTCTCCAGGCTGGTCTTGAAGAGCAGCTGTTTGTGGGGTCTTCACCAGACACACGTGATCTCAGGAGAGGGGTTACTTTCCCCGCGTGATAGATGGGGAAACCGGCTTTGCCCAAGGTCACACAGCCGGCAAGTGAGGGTGCTGGGTTCAAATTCAGTGGCCTGACACCCTTCCATGCGCACACGCGTTTGCTACACTGACTTTAACTGTGCCTCCTTCTGCTGAGACCACATCCCCCACGGCTCCTGACCACCCCAGCTCCTTCCTTGTTGCCCTGCCCTGTCCACTGCCCCTTACCTCATCAACCCCATCGCCTCCCGCCCTCCGTTAGTCCTCATGTCCTTCCAGCCTCACACCTCCGAAGGGTCCCTTCTCCCCACCAGGCCCTCCGCCTCTGCAGCGGGTGCCTTTTACCCGTGCCCCCCTGGCCCACACACTTCAGGGTCTGCGTGGCCCCTCCATTCCTTGCCACCATCTTCTCCCTTGTCAGCCTGTGCCCCCCACCCCCTCCTCTGCCCACCTCTTCACTTCACTCTGCCTGGTTCCCCAGGGCCTCTTTTCTCCTCACACTGCGCCCTCCTCCTTGCCCACAGGCGCCATCTGTCCCCACCCAGGTCTCCGTTCTGAGCTCAAGCCTGTCCCAGCTGCTTTCCCCTCAGGAAATGTCACCCGCCCCCAGGCACCCTCCCACGTGGGTGGGGGTCTCCATGGGCGCCTGCTTCTCCCTCACCTCAACACGCAGAATTGTTCTCTCTTGCCGCACGGCAGCCCCTGGGCCGGCGGTCTCTCTCACTTCTGCTCTTCTAGAAGCCTTTCTCTAGAAAATCATCTTCTACTTGATAAAATAATACATGTTCCCTGTGAGAAGAAATTACTTTAAAATAAGTAAAAATATAAAAAGACAGGAGGAAATCATCTTACGCCTCACTGCTAAATGCATGTCCTTCTAAGATCTCCCTGGGATTTCGGTCACCTCTCAACTCTTCCCAGACTTGAGGGGCAGAGAGAGATTTTGTAAAATGCAGCTTTGATTATATCAACACCACCAGCTCCCCAGCTTAAAACCGAGGCCCACTGGCTGTGACCTTGGCTGTCAAAGCCTCTGTCTTCCCCAGGCCCTTGCCTTGTATATGCAGCAGGGACACAAACCAGGCAACAGGGTTCTGAGGACACAGCACCAGCTGTGGGGAGGAGCTTTGAAAGCCATGAGATGCTCCCCAAAGGGGAGGAGGCATCACCTCTGTCCTCGGTAGGACTGTAGGTTGGCACAGGGCCAGGCAGAGGCTTCTCCCTCAACAGCAGGAGGCGCTAACACAGGGCTGGAGCTGCCTTTGGCAGTGATGGGAGGAGGGGAGTAAAAATGCTAAGATCAGTAATGGGGGTGGGAGGAGGTTTTCAAATGGGGGTACAGCAGTGACTGATACTACAGAGAAATCAGAGGAAGTGATTGTGGAAAAGCCCTTGGATGTGCTCCAGAGGCAGGGGAGGCAGGAGCCAGATACCCAGGTCTGCGTGCAGGCGTTGAAGCAAGGATCCCCCTCTTTCACTCAGGCTAGGAAATCTGACCTCGTGTTCTCTTCAGGGGGCTCCAGGGAAGGTACTTTGATGAAGGGACCACCCCAGAGGGTGGAAGGAACAAACAGGGATGTTGAGGCTCCCAGGGACTCGTGAGAGCAGGACACTGGAGGGAGGGGCCTAGGGTCCTGCAGGGAGCAAGTGGCACAGCTGGGACTTAAAGCCATGTCAGGCTCTGCTGCTTGGATGTTGGATCTGCTGCTCTGCCAGGGGCTTCACCTTGTGGGGACCACCCAGCTCTGGGGAGCTAGCACTGGCAACAGGAATACTGTTGACTAGAGCATTTGGGGAGCAATACTGGGCCACACGTCTGTCAGCCAGAATGCTTTTAGCTGCGAATATCAGAAACTCCAATTCCACATGACCGAACAATAAAGAAAGGTGTTTTCTAACAAAAACAACAGTCTGGAAGCCGGGAGTCTCCAAGGCTGGGGGATTCAGCAGCCCATGGACATCAGGATCGGGGTTCCTTATGTATTTGGTCTTGTGGGCCCATCGTCCGGTCTCCGCCCATGGCTGCCTTCATGCAAGGGTCTCAGGCATGCGGGTCTTTTTAGGAGCAGAACCTTTCCCAGAAACCCCCAACAGAACTCCCTGTCTTCTTGCGGCTCGTTCCAAAATGAACCACCGGCAAGGGAGAAGGAATTGCTTGAATTCGGATTTGTCAGGACCCACTGGGGAAGGCCCACCTCTTCTGGCAGTCCAGGGCTTGGTTTGGGCAAATCGCAAGGAAGAAGGGCATGCGGGCAGGGGTGGGGGGTGTCTCTGGGAATGGCCCTGGAGGAGGTGCCAGCAGGTGAGCTGCATCCAGTTGCTTATACCAGTAGGGAAACCCGTGCCTCGTAGCATGGAAGGGCAGGCCAGCAAGCTCAGGGCGTGGAGTGGGTGCTGGATCTGACCGACATGAAGCCGAGGGTGCAGGGTCAGCCCGTGGGGCCCCTATGGATTCCCTCTCCCCCAGTTGAGAAGTGAACATTGATGTGCTTGACACACAAGTGACAAAGCTCTTCTTCTTTGGATGTGATAGGGGCAGCCTGGCTGGTGAAGTGAAAGGACAGGATCAGAGACAGCAGCTGTGTCACTTGAGTGCTCTGAGCACATAGGCCAGGTCCCCTGCACAGCTGGACATGCCAGTTTCCCTCTGCCTTGGGGAAAGTGGACGACTTGGGAGGGGAGATGGCCTGCGGGAGACTCAGAGCAACCACAGGAGGTCTCCGTGGGGGGGCGGGGGGCACCCACATTGGTGCCTGTGAGTGGTGCACATCAATTTCCAAGGCCTTGTGAGGCTGTGGGAGAAGGGCAGAGCACCAGCTGAGACTCCCCGCCTGAGGAATAGAGAGGTCAGGTGGTAGCAGGGCGGAAGGCAGGTTTTCCAAAGACAGAAGCTCAGAATAGACTGAGGCTCCTGACAAATGCTGAAGGGAAGGAACAGAAAAGGCTTTTAACTAAAGAGGTGGGCCGGGAACAAAGAACACAGCCAGGAGCGAATCCCGGCTGCCTGGAGCCTGGAGCGATGTGAGGAGGGCCCCCTCCAGCTGCCAGCCAGCGTTTTCAATGAGAAGGGGCGGGAGGGGAGGGGCAGGTGCAGCCCAGGGTAAGAGATTGGGGCGTCAAGGGCCTGGTTACCTCTGATTGAGCTTCTCTGGGCCCAGGCCCTGGGGCCCCAGCGTGTGGCTCTCAGAAGGGACAGAGAGAATGGAGGGTCCTTGTGGTGGAGGCCCTGGAACCTGAGTTAGGAACAAGCAACAGCAGTTTGGAAGTGAGGGTGGAAGCCCCAAGCAGAAAGGCCTTGTTTTTCAGAGAGCAGGAAACTAGACCACAGTGTGGGGTGTTCAGTCCCTGTGCACAGGTGGAAGAGGAAACTGTGATCACAGCAGCCGACCACGCTCAGCTTCTGGGGCTGGAGGCACAGCTGACACCCCAGCAAGGAGGCATCTTTGCGCCAGCCCAGCAGCCAGGGGACAGTCACGGTGTGAGCAGTGCAGTGGCCAGCCCAGCCCTCCCTGCAAGTGTGTGCTGTGTTTTCTCACCAAGGCCGTCAGCTGTGGCACTAGCAGCTGAGCAAGGCCAGGAAGTGCGGTGGCTGCAGCTTCAGGGCAAAACCTAGTGGCTGTCAGTGCTCACTGCAGCAGGGTCCCCTGGGCACCTGGGTGCCTGCCTAAAATGCAGATTCCTGACCCCATGCCAGAGAGTTGGGATGAGGGCTCAGGAATCTGCATTTGCCTCACATCCCCTCCCAGGGATGTAGGTGTCTCCTGCCTTGCCCATCTCCACATAGAGGCAGGGAGTCTGCTGGAGGTGGGGACAGCATGGCTGCTTGCTGACCAGTGATTGTCGGCTTGTCGGGCCCCACGAGGCACAGCTCAAAGCTGGAGGACTCCTTCCTTGTAGAAGGTGTGGTGGGGGTCCTGCCTGGGGTAGGAGATCGGACGCAGTGAATGCCCTGTCCCCCATCTTCCCGGGGGTGGGGCCTTCTTACCATCCCTTAGCGGTACCACAAGGCCTTCTAGGTACCACAAATCCTTCTATGTAGAAGCAGCCCCCGGCTGAGGTCGGAGGGGCTAAGAGTCCACCTGCTCATTGCCTGGGCTGCTCCCTTCTCCCTCCCTGCGCTGAGGACACCCAGGGCACCGCACCCCTGTGGCAGCTAACCTTGTACTTCTTCTTCCTCCCCTCCCCTCCCCTGCCCTCCGCCCCCTCCCTGTCTGCCTGTCCTGGGCGTGGTCTCCTGTGTGCTTCTCTGGTCTCCGCCTCCTCTCTTCCTCTCAGTAACCTTGGACCTACTCGTCCCCCCCAGTTCCCGGGTCCTTTGGTCCAACCCTATGCCCCCTCCTTTCTGCCCCCTCTGTGCCCTCTCCACCTCCCTGTCTCAGGGGGCCCCCTCCTGATGAGCCCCTGGTTTCTTCCTTTTGCAGTTAGTTTTCTCTTGGATTTGTGGAGGTTTTTCATTTTTAAAAACTTCAACTGGGGGCATGAAGCCTCTCCCTTCCTCTCTCTGACCCCGACCCCTGTTTTTGTTCCAGGCCACTAAACCATCTAAAGAGATGAGCGGGTCAAATGAGACCTCGAGCCCCGTCTCAGAAAAGCCCTCGGCTTCCAGAACCTCCATCCCTGTATTGACTTCCTTTGGGGCAAGGAATTCTTCCATCTCCTTCTAGAAGCCCCCTCACACCTCCACCCCAGCCTGTCCCTCCCTTATCCCTACCATTTCTCCCCTGCTCTTCCCCTCATCTGCAACCCCTGCCACCCCATTCTCCAGATCCCCCCCAGGGTTTGCCACAGTGCGGCCCTCCTCAGCTATCTGCCATCCCCTGTGGGTGTCTTTGGTTTAAAAAGTGATTTGCTTTTAATTATCTTTTTTTTTAACAAAACAAAACAAAAAAAGCAAGACAGTAACATTAAAAACCAAAACACACCACCTTCCCTTGCTTCCTGCTCCAGAATGGCCCACTTTCTGTCATGTCCCTCCCTTTTCTCTCGCCCCGCCCTGCCCCCCATGTCCATCCTGAAGTTCCGCCCCTCCCTTCCTGTCTTCCCACGACTTCTGAGGAGCTCTCCAAACAAACTCTGAGCCACGGAGACTTGGAGCCGCGGAGAGACCCTCTCCCCTTCCTCAGACACCTTCCTGGAGGAAAATCTGGACATTGAACCAACTCCAGTATCAGGCTGGAAAACGGGGTGCAGGGAGATGCCAGCCCTGGAGGTTCCCCACCCCTTCGACCTGAGGATATGAGCTAACTCTGCTCAGCCTGGAGCCGGCTCGGATGGACTGGAGAGGGAAGCCAGAGTTGGGGCCGTGGGGTCTGTGTGTCCTGGGAGAGGAGCTGGCTTCCTGGGCCCGCCTTCCTGTGGTGAGGAGCCACCCAGGCAGGGCCCACCCGGGCAGGGGCCTTTGGGACTGCTGGCTGTGGGTGATGGTTGAGCAGAAAGCTTGACACTGGGGACACTGCCTTGGGAGAGGGCAGCCCCATGAGGGGCATTTGGTACTTTTAGTTTCCTAATTTAGCACTTTAAATGACATTAACTTATTTAATGGGGTGGGGTGGGCGAGAATGAAGGGGCTAGAAAATTAGATTTTGAGGCCTGGAGGGTGGGGAGGGTCTGGTTGTGAGGGAAATGGAGGGAACTGAGAGGGCTGAAAGGGCACAAAGGACAGCTCTGACCCCACAGGGGTGACTTGACCTTCAACCCTTGTCTTTGAGCATTTGCAGGGAAGGGGTGAGGCATGGTTTTAAATGGAGAGTTGGTCACCCCTGGTAATATCCTTGAGGGTCCCTGAGGCCTGACCAGTTAGCCAGCACCCCCAAGCCATGGCTGCCTGCCTTGCAGAGACTGTTGGTTGTAAGGCTTTGGCCTGATCTGAGGTGGGAGGGAGAGACCAATTTTGGTTCTTAGCCCCAGCCTCCCTGAGGGCACAGTGGGGGGCTAGTAGGGGAGGAAGAGGCTGGAGTGGGAACCCCAAGGGGCAGGATTCCTATTGAGCACAAAGTAAGGGAAGCACAGGGGAGGGGGCTTGGAATTAGTCTCCTCTAGTAAGCACAGAAAGGAGGAGCCATTGAAGGGGCAGAACTTTCTAGACCTTGGGGCCTGGCGGGAAGGTGGGTGCTTGGGGAGAGCCAGAGGGAGCTGTTGAGGGTTGGGGAGGGAGGGGAGATTGGGTTGTGTTTTTTCATTTCTTTCTCTTTTTTTTTTTGTTTTATTTTTGTTGGTTCATCCTTGTTTTCTAGCTTTGGATCATTTTTGTACAAAGGCAAGCAAGCCTTTTTGAAAAATAACAAAAGAGGAAAAAAATCCCTCAAAAAAAAAAAAACCCTGGAAAACAGAGAAAAAAAAAAGGACCTCATAAATGATGCAATTACTTTTAATTGCAGGCAACTCTTTACATTTAAGTGAAGTGTCTTAACATTTTATATTGTTTTAAAAATATATTTACATATTATATATATATAATATACGTAATATAAATATATATAAATATTTAAAAAAGAAAAAAAAAGAAACCACGGCGCTCTCTCCCTGGCCACTGTTTTGGCGGGGGAGGGGGCCTGGGGCGAGCGCATCCGTCTGACTTCTGTGGTCCAGTGAAACGGTTCGGTTTGATTTGGCTGTACAGAGACCCCCTGACGGGAGGGAGAGGGGGCACGGTGCCCCTCCGCCCTCCACTCCATTACTCTTTGCTTGCTACTTTTTGCTTGCCCCCAGCGCGCCCCCAGCCCTGTGACCCCAGTGTGTGCCCCGCCGTCCTTGTCCTGAGTTGAGCGTCCCTCTGTGGGGAGAGGAGAGGCGGGAGGAGGTGTCAGTCCGCAGGGGGAGGGGGGGTCGCCCCCGCCCCGGCCCTGGAGCGCCAGCCCGGTGGGGTTTGCATCTTGCTTTCACTTCGGCTTCTGCAACTTCACGGGCTGAGAGGCACTTGCTTGCACGGGGTTGCCGCAGCCCGTGTGTGCGTGTGTGCGCGCGCGTGTGCAAGTCCACTGTGGATGGCCGGAAGCGTGCGCGTGCATAGGCCCAACCTGCCCTGGTGCGCAGGGAGGTGTGTGCGTGGAGGTGCGTGGAGGAGGCGTGTGCGTGGAGGTGCGTGTAGCCTGCCTGGGCGTTGCACCTGGCGTGGAGCAGCCTTGCATGTGAGAAGGTGTATAGTGCGTGTGCCGATGCGTGTAACTGCAAGAGCCGCATGTGTATGTGGATCACGTGTGGGCAGAGAGTGTACGTGGCGGTGCGTGTGACCTGTGTGAACGGTGCGTGCGTGTGCATGGGTGTGTCGAGGCGTGTGGGAGTGCCTATCCATCGTCCCTGCACCGCTCTCGGCTTCCTTCCCAAGCCCCAGCCCCATGACCCTCTCAAAGCTCGCAGCACGTCAATGCCCCCCCAGCTGCATGCGCCTCGCTGCTCTGTCCATCAGTGTGTGCTTGACCAAGAGAAAACTCAGATGTCTGGGGGGACCCCTGTACCCGGACCCCCAGCCCCTGCTCACTGTGCTGTGTTACTCGCATGGGGGGTTTCTGCTCCCGCCTGGTCACAATATGCTGTTTCCCCAGGAGCCTCAGGCCTGAGGCGCTGAGAGGGGTCCCTGGTGGGGCCCCCCAGGGCAAGCCTGGCTCCACACCCTGCCCCGTCCACCCCGTAGGGCCCTTGTTGGTGTAGCAGTGACGGCTTCTGTGGATATTCTGTGACCTCTGTCAGTGTAACTTGACAATTTCTAAATGGAAAGGGTTGCTGTGTTTTCTGTCTCTCTTTTCTAATGTCCTTTTTCTTCTCCCCACTTCCCTGCTCTCTTCCCTTTTCGGTTTTTCTAGCCAAGTGTTTGGGGCTTAAATAAAACTTGTTTCTTTTTCCTCTCCTGGATCTCCTTCCTACAGGCTACTGTCTCGTTATTTTCTGTCTTTACTCTGGAAGGTGCTGGGATGCATGGGATGGAGGGTGGGGACCCCTAGCAGTGACCAGCCCTGCAGCTTAGCAGGCGGGGCATGCAGCAGGAGGGGGAGGGGCAGTGACAGGAGCCCCAGGAGTCCCGAGAACCAACACTGTCAGGGACATGGAGGAATGTCACTAACTCCTGCTGGGCACCAGCTCCTGCTGGGCTCCCACCAACTCCCACCTACTGCCGGGCACCAGTTGGCATTTTACCTCCATCAGCGAGGCAGCAGCCATGAGTGGTAAAACCTGAGTCATTGTGTCTCAGCCAGCACCATGCAATTTGTAAGATCCACAATCAGGATTTGAATCCAGCTGTGCCTCACCCCAAACCCAGTGCCTTCCCCACCAGACCAACTCCAGGCCATGGCCTCCAGCAGGGATGGCCCCCAGCATTCCCCTGCATCAGGCTGGCCTCCTGCTCTTTGGAAGGGGTGACTTCAGAGTGTCTGTCCAGCCTTTCAAGAGAAGCTTCAAACCTTTTTAAGAAATGTAACTCATAAAGTGCATTTTACAGCTCAACAATTTAGACATGTGCACGTACACTCCAACACATGTAGTTGGTGACACAGCAGAATAGTCAGTGCACTCTGGTATTTTCTGTTATATTCTAAACATTGGGACTTTGAAAAATACTTGTTCTGAAGACCTAGATTCAGTCCTGAGCATGTTGCAGCTGCCCCCACTTGCCCCATGATCTCCTCTGAAATTGGAAGACCCTGAGAGGAGGGATGCCCTTGATCCTGTCGATTGGGTGGCCCCTGGCCCTGGTGCCAGAGAGCTGACCGACTCCCCAGTTAAAAGGTCAGAGTCCAGCATGCCCCTGGGTTTTTCAGGTTTTCCTGGAATTTTGAAGGCTGTGCCACTGTTCCAGCATGTTCTGAGGATCCTGGAGGCTGCCCTTCTAGGCATTCTCCTGCTTAGCTGGGGACACCTGGGGTACTCTTGGGTCTTTGTCCTCCATCCCTGTCCCTTCCACCCCATGGAGTAATGACTCCTTCCTGGAGCCACAACTCCAGCCCTCCCAGGAACTCCCGCCACACTTTCTTATCTTAGTGGCCAGTAGCCTCTTTGAAGACAGAGGTAGAGGGTCTGCAGGGACTGCCCGCTTCCGGGTCACCTGCTGGCCAAGCAGCCCTTCAGACCCTCGGCAGCCAGACCGCATCCCCGTGTTCTTTAAACAATGGGAGCAGATGGAGCTGTCCCTGTGTCATCCGATTCCCAGAAAGCCAGAGCACAGCCAGCCCTACCCCACCCCTGTCTCCCAGAACCACCCTATTCCTTGACAGTTCAAGATCCAGTAACAAATGGGACCATCACCAGCACACCAAGAGCTACACCAGGCCCTTGTTCACCCTCCACATGCCAGCCAGTCTGCTCGGGGCTGAGCAGGCTGCTCTGCCTGCTGGGATCATAAAACTCACTGTCCAGCAGGGGGTGGCCCGGCACCCCAGCAAAATCACCACAGGTGAGCAGGGCCACAGGGAAGCAAGCCTGTAGCTGTGCAGCGGTGAGCGAGGGACCACCTCAGAGAGGTGGCCCTGAGGTCATATCCGAGCGGAGACCTTCAGAACCAAAGAGGGCAGAAGTGGAGCAGAAAAACAAGCCGACTTTCTGCAGTTTCGACGGCGGCCGGACATGGCCAGAGCAGCGGCTGCAGCTCTTCCCCCTGCAGCTCTTCCCCCAGCTGGCAGGTGGCCACGGAGCGACCCCGCCTAGAAGCCCCAGGTGGGGGAGGCGCCCTGGGGGACAAGACGTCTGGCCAGGGGCGGGCAGCGCGGGTGGCGTCCGCAGAGGTGGGACTCTCAGGCCAGGGAAATCAAGCCTGGAGACGGGGTGCCCGAGCCGGGCGGGCTCCCCCAACCTATCAGCCCCTCGCACCCGGGCTGCCCAGCATCCCCCGGTCCCTGGCGGAGACTTTTCCAAAGAAAGACTGTGGGGTCGGGGCCGCAGCAAGAAGTCCCTGAAGTGGGGAGTCGCCTGCGGGTTATAGAAAGTGCATGGAACCCAAGAAGAGTGAGGGGGTGCTCCGCGACCATCCGCGGCTGGCTGGGCAGCTCACGGTCGGCCCAGGCAGCTTGAAGGAGAACCCTGGCGCCCTTGGCACCATGCCCACGGGCCGGGGGGAAGCCAGCCGCAGGGAGACAGCCATCTCGGCTCGCTCTTTTCTTAGCGGTTCTCTGACGCTCTCCGCAGCTCCCCCCGCACCCCGCCCCGTGGTCCTCTGCGCCCCCTCCCTTATAGGCCCAGTCCCTGGGCTCCCTTGCACCCACCCACGCGCGCCCGCGCCACCCTCCAGGGGCCGCCACCAGGCACGCGCGTCAGGCCGCAGGTGTCCATCACGGGTGCTAGTGGCGTTTCCATTTACCCCACGGCGGGGAGGGGGCAGCCCTCGGGCCATGGGACAGAGGCCACGCAGGAGGGATGTCACAGGGAAGGGGTCTGCTCTGAGCCGTGGAGGCCAAGTGGGGGGTTCAAAGGAAGAAAGTGACAAGGTGTGACACCAGCTCAGAAGTCACCTCTGCTGGGGGTAGAGGTGGGGCAGGGGCGGGATCTAGTGCAGAGCCTCGGGTCAGGCTCTCCAGCTGACACACGCAGGGCTGCGGGAAGGGAAACTGAGTCTCAGGACTTTGTAGCCATG